ATTTGATTGACTAGCAAACTCTTATTTTATACACCTTTTTCATTCTGGAAAATCCATTTGATCCTTCAGTTGTTCATCGTAGCTATGCTTCCAATTTTACTAAAGAGTACAAGCAATGTTAGTGGAGAAAAAATTTGGACGAGATCAAGCAGGCCCTTTAACAAAGAGAACCTCGATATGGCCTTGGAACGCATGCAATAGGAGTATTTAGAAATCCAAAGATCCAAGCAAAGTCAAGCAGATCATTGGGCTACTCATGGAATGAATTTTCTTATAAAATTGTAGCACCTGTGCGTGGGAGTTTACGAAAGATACGCGTACAAGTAGTCATGGGAGGAATAAGCGTAGAAGTAGTCACAAGTTTGATTACGATAGCACGTAAAGTAATACACTGAGTCAGGAGAAAAAGATCTCACCTGAAAAATAATGACATCTTACTTCGACGTTACAATAACGTCCTTCCACTCGTCCATCACAAGCAACATGCTTGAGAGTGAAAGCTAAAGTTTCTTTTAGAATCTACTTCATCAAATATACCCACGACTTCTGAAGTCTAGATATGTATTTCTCTTCCCATTGTGAGGTACTCTGAGTTTTACTCTCGTTGGTGTAAATGTCTCATAAGTTGACAATTTTTATCAGCTGTCTTTGTGAAAGATAATCAAGAAGCAACATTCAGACTTCAGTAATACTGTTCTATGATTTGTTCATTGACTTGGAATTATGTATTGAAGCTCCAATTCAGAAATATGAATATAGAAACCCCTCCTCAAAGCTGGGCCTCAGTTCGGAATTTGGATTCCAGATAGCTAATCGGTCCCGGCCGCGCCGCCCCACCCAGCCTCCATCAGGAATTTGAGCTCTAATTGGGCTGCGTTGGGCTCATTTGAAAGGTTGGATTGGGCTCAGATACGCAAGTTGGGCTCATGTAAAAAAACTTTGTCAACCTAGAGATCTCGACTTTGTAGTTTGAACGTGTTCAAATTTTGTCTAATGTGTAGATTATGAGATGTGACTCAAGGAGCTAAGTTTAGTCATTTGTAAGACTTCCTAGTATTTAGAGGTCGCACGTTGATACTCCATCAGCAGTGTCTTTTGTGACTCGCACAAGACATATGTGAAACCAGTAATGAGACTTAGAGACCATGTTGCGCCATAAACCGTCTGAAATTGGATCAGTCTGGAGAGTTCAAAGTTAACTTCATGCTTTAAGCAAGAAACCTCTCCTACAGTCCAAAAGGACTGTCGAAGGAACTTACTAAATTATGGAGCTATAAAAGGAATTGGAGCACATCTTGAAGACTTTTTCAAATAGTTCCTTGATGGCTGCCCCAAAAGCGTATAGGAGGTCACATGTTCCCTCAAAGCCAGTGATCAGTATACGACATTTAAAGGAATAGAAAGTCTAATATAGTGGTTTGTATGGTCCAGACCGTTTATCAAAAAATATATGATGGGTATAGGTTTGTAAGCTAAAATATTGTTCCAGTTGGAGACAAGATGCAAGTCGCAAGACAATTGACGCCCCTACCAATTTAATCAAGTATGGAAGTGTCTTTGCCAAGGAAGCAGTGGGACGAAATTTACATAACAGAAAGGTGCTAGGCAGGCATCTGTTTGCCGACAATACCTCAGGACATCAATGTAGAGTGTCGTCACCAATTAGTTTGTCTCTCGGTCTCAAAGTCCTGAAAATTTGTGGAACTCTGTAAACATCGACTTAGAGAGCAGGTTACACCTAGCAACGAGATAATAGTAGCATCTCCGGATCAGAGATACCAAATGGTGATTTTGTCCCACTTCTATATCTCGCAAGCAGGTCCAAATGCAAATGAGCTTGCAACGCAAACGATGCTTCTCGACATGAGTTTTTGTGTCTTTGCATTCTTGCTTGCAGGAATCACTCCGAGTGCTTGCGAGTGCCCGCACAGTAATAACTTTGTGATTATTGAACGCTGAGATCCCTCCAGCTCCTTCAATCAGTGCTCTTGTCGCTGGGCCATCTAAACAACGGACTAGGTCGATCACAAATCGCGTGTGGAGTTAGTATTCATTTCAATCCCAAACCAATCTATTCTTCCAAAGTATTGCATCCCAATACTGAGGATGGTCGCCACCCAGTTCAATCTTCCTTCCCCTACTGGGCTTTTTCGTACGGATCTCCACATACACAGCCCCAAAATCATGCAAGATAATATACTACTCTTCCCTGCAACCTTGCGAAATCTTTGTTGGTCCAGGTAAGCTTTGTGATTAGCGGCTTGTAATTATAATCTTTGCGTCCCAGCACTCTCTCTCTCCTCTATGGGATTGACTTTTTTTGCGTGTAAGATGTTGGCTTCATCGTAACAACTGGCACAATCTCCCCGCACAGTGTTGTATGGGTAGAGAATTTGTCGAATGTCGAAGTAAAATGCCGAATGTCTAGACTAAGGTTCTCTTGAATTCCTGCGCTCTGCTGCCCTTACCTTCTCACGAGCTACCCGCCAAGCTTCTTCCATTGGCCACGTTGAATTCTTTATTTAACAGTTTTACCCTCTTCCGGCCGAATCTGCCTCTGAAGAGCACTTCCAAAGCAAAACTAAAACTACTCTAACTCTCCAAACTAAAGATCCTACAGCGGAACGGGTCTTGTAGATATGTCTTCAGCGTAAAGTGATCATTATTGCTACTACTTTCATCATACAAGATCACTGCAATAGGAGAAGATTTCCATATAATTTAGGAGTTTTATGTTTTACTTTCTAACACAGCTTCTTCAGAAAGCTTCCGTAGCGGATTTTGACAAGAATTTTAGCTACACGGGTTCAACTTTTATGGACAAAGCGACTAGTTATCTCTATTCTGAAAGGCTCTAATATTTTATTGGTTCCAGGTTCATTAAATCTGTATCTTTCAAACTGTATTTGTGTGTAGTCTAATTTGCAACTCGCATTTGGGTCACGAAAAAAACTTTTAGATTTAACTCCGTGATAGCTCACGGAGATACACTCCGTGTAATGTAATCTCGTTCAGGACACAAATGTGTTCACTCTTATTTTTATGAAGAATTATGTGCTTGTACCAACAAATACTATTCAGAAGATCTCATTCTATTCTGAAATGTCAACGCATTGATATGCACTCCATGACACATAATGATCCTACTCTCGCTGCCCAAAAGGAAGAGCTGCACGTACCTTGTATTGTCCTCGTGCATCAGAATGCGTAATATTAATCTCAGGAGTGACTTACCATGGAACGTAATCTTTAAAATTGTGATAGGAAAGTAAGATGTCGGCAATGTAGTAATTAGTTTTCCAACGCTGAAAAATGTACCGCATCTGTTCAATGGATGAGCATGGCATCCTATCACTCTCAAATTTGAGTTTTACACTAAAAGAACACAGCATAATCTTCCTGATTATTAGACAACGCTGTTGTGAGCATGCGAGAGTTAATCAATGTCAAATCAACGAAAAGTGCCGTTTTGTACTTGTATTTATAAAATGTCAAAGTTTGATACAGCCATCGCAGAACTGAGAGCCCACCTTTGCAGATTCATATGCTTTTTATGCTGAAAGAGCTACGCTGACTTGTGTTAACTCTCAAATCTCGAGCAAAATGGCCACGAATGTATGCTGCTGAAGGCCGAATCCAATTGCTTGAACATTGAAGTCTCTAAACACATGAACTCTCTTCCTTGTGGATCCAACTGGAGGCACTTTTGGAAGCTACGAGTACCTTCGAGGATCGAATGATCGTTGTAAGTTGTGATCGAATGAACACCTCCAGTTTCAGTAGGGTCGACGCTAAAAAGATTCCTGCGCTTAGCTCCTTGTGTTGAGATTTTCCTCGTTACCTTTTCTTTGCAACAGCAGACTACCCTGTTTTGGTCTGTGTCCTATCGTATATTCCATATTGTAATTATGAAAAGGCTCAAAAGTTAAACATAAAACAACCGAATCTGAACGTGAAAAGAACAGCGATGAACTACCCATAAATGACTTGAAGACAAACCTAGGACCAACATTCGGTCCGAGGAAAAGCCGATTCCAAGTGTGTCCCCATGATTTTGGCCCTAGAGACTGGACGAGCACTCATCCAGTTGCGCAGCATATAATCTCAGTGCATTCCTTTGCACGTGGAAAGGATTTTTTTTTTGGTGAAGGTGCCAACTCCAGTGTCATTCTTTTCACACGATGGTCAATTCTTGGTCAAATGACCTGTGATGACATAACTTCTGGACCTCGCAAAGATCTCGCCTGATTTTTATCAGAGCCGCCTCTAAAATGGGAGGGTAACTCTACACGAGTTAATAAGGTGTCGAGGCGTGGGATTCATTGAACTGACCCGAACTTCAAGTAAGACCGTCCCTCTCCTTTCTATAAGGATTATGGGATCAGGCTTGCTGAAGAAAAGCAGCATATGTCTATCAACAATTTGAGCCCAAATTCGACAAGATCTAGACCGGGATGTCGGACGATCTAATGAGTCTCAGCTGTCGTTTGTTGAACAGTTTGAACTCCGCATAAATCTGGCGCCGCCTGAGGGCGGTAGATCTGCTAGATACCAAGACACTGAATGAAAACACAGTCGATGTTGACTTCATGTCATTCTTTCCAGCTATTTTAGCTTTCGTCTTAGCAAAATTTCGGTATAACCGAAATTTTGCTAAGAACACAAAAGCCAGTCCATCGGTCCAGGATAAGTCGACACCCCTATGACTTCTGAGGAAGATGGACGTCTGTAGATCCATCTCCAGCAAATCTCGTGATAGTGCAAATCTCAGAGCATTGGTACTTTTCTGCCGATCTTTATTTCCAATTTTCCAGCCTTCCCATAAAAACTGTTTCCTGTGTGGAAGTATTTTATTAAGGCAATGACGTCATGAAGATCTAATCCAGCTATAGAACCGCGTCTTCGATCAACAGGTAAATTAATAGAAAGAAAACAAATTTGATAAGGCAGAGAATTGTTGTTACGCTCATCCCGAGAAGTTTCTGCGGGTGTATATAACAGCCAAGTTCTGAATGGCAAATTCGTCTCATAGTTCAACATTAGTCGCGCAGCATTGAGATTGCTTAGGCGACTAATTGTTCTCTTCTTTCTCCTCCTCAATCATTCCAGAAAGCCTCATTTGCTTCTCGATCATAGTCTTTGCTCGTTGCCATCGTGAATTTTGAGATCTATATCATCTTCTAAGGAACTTCGATATACAATTTTCTTGCATGATAAGCAGGGACGAGTTGCACAAGCTTCAGGAAGTGAATTTTGTTTTTCTGGTACAGTTTGATTCGGCTCATATTGAGTCGTTTGGACTTGAGAAAGCTCTACTCTCGAGCTTTTAGAGTCTGTGCACTACAGGGAAGGACTACATCAAGCCCAGATGCAGTCCATGTACTTGCCCGGGGAACGAATTGCTGTGCAGGCACACTTGAATTATGCTCCAAGTTCCTCTTGTAATGTCTGGAAGGACATGCTCACCTTGCCATCGGATCTATCGAGCTCGACCACTCGATGGGGCCGTCCTCCACGGCCCCTTCAGCTTACTATAGTTAATGTGACTCCCAACAGCGGAGAATCGTGCCCCTTCAGTGACACCTTTATTTCGACCGAGGTGATAAACGATGGCTCTAGCAATGCGAAAGAGAAGCAGAGGAAGGACACTAGGTTCTTCGTGCCTGCGAAACCAGTGTGGAATTCCCTGATGAGAACCAAAACGGTAAAGCTCCAGACCTTGATTGCATGGCTCCTTGTTTGCCGAGCTTGTTGTTCCTCGAGCTATCCCCAGCAGTCGCTTCGTTGTCTCGCTGCATGTACATGCGTGTACCTGAAGTGACTGAAAATCTTGATGAGGAATCGAGAACTAATGTCAGCAGAGGTGTTTGCAGTTGTCGTTCCTGAAGTCCCAGATCTCTCTTAGAGTTGCCTGATAATTCTACAATATGTTTGATAAAGTAATGAATGTGCAGGAAGCAAATGGGCCAAATGCTTGGCCAGTTGTGGGTACCCTGCCAGAGCTGTGGCTAAACTACGACAGAATGCATGATTGGCTCTTGGAATATTTCCAAAAAGCAGGTCTCACATTCGCCACACCCATGCCCACAAATACCTACGTCTACACTGCCGATCCAGCTGTCTGCGAATACATTCTCAAGACCAACTTTGCGAACTATCCGAAGGTAACTCATCCTCTCAATGGCGTCTCTTATAAATCTCTCAACTTGACAGTCAATTTTTGAATGACGCTTGTAATGCCTTGTAAAGGGCTCTTTGACTGGTAGTTCCAGCTGGCGCAAACTTTCGTATGTGTGTCAATCCTAGTCTTATTTCCATTTTACTGTCTGTAGTATTCTTCTCGTCTTTGATTTTGTTCAGCCCTCGATTCACCGAGATATTCGTCAAGATTGATAGACCTTCTTACTCTAGGAATGTGAAGAAGCAAGATCATCTGAAAGCCAGGCATGTCAATTGTTTTGAATTGATCTTGTGAGATACTTTACTGAATATTTTCTTCCTTAACATTAGCTCGGGGTGATCACTACCAAATGAAACGATCAGGCACTGATGTGCAAAGAGAGTTGAGCACAAAGCACAACTTATTTGTTTTGTGCAGTCTAAGATTGTAAGAAGAAATTCCTCGTTGCTTTCAATTGTCTATTAAAAGATTGTAATTTCAGATCTGATGTTTGAGGGCCTGATTTGGTCCTATGATCGTCTTGTGGATGCCCTTGGTCTATTTATTCATGCTTTCTGTGCTCGAGTCATTTACGAAATCGATTTGCCATTGACTATGCCAGGGAGAACTCTTTCAAGAGGTTCTAAACGAGTTCTTGGGAGATGGCATCTTCAATTCTGATGGTGAACTATGGAAGAAGCAGAGGAAGTTAATGCAGGGTGAGGTTCAGCGCAAAGTGCTTCGCGATTACAGCCTAGTAACCTACCGGGAGAAGGCTCACCTTCTTGCGTCCATCGTTAGCAAGGCCTCTTACTCTGCAACGTCTCTCGAAATGCAGGTACTGCCCGCTCTGTCATACACGAGAGGTGCATATTGCTCCCTGAAAAATAAGAGCTCAGTTTTGAACTGTCTTTTGTCGGAAATTTGTTCCAACCTTTATATAAGTAGTGACTGGGAATCGTACTTTATGTCAAAGCTTTTAGCTATCTTCTCATTGTTCATGAGCGATTTCACATTCTCTTAGATCTAACAGGCGTTTGTTGCAAATTATTCTACAAACACTCACTTGTCCAGTTTCTGCGACTGATCATGTTTAGGACCTTTTCAAAAGAATGACATTGGACACCATTGTCGAGGTTGCAACGGGAGTGCAATTGGGAGCCTTGTCATATGAGCTGCCAGACGTGCCTTTTCAATCAGCCTTCGATGAGGCAAACGTGAATGTCCATGTAAGATTCGTCGACCCACTGTGGAGAGTCAGAAGGTTCCTGAACATAGGCATAGAAGCCCGATTCAAAGATGCGGTGCAGTACATGGACACATTTCTCTACGATGTGATTCGGACGAGGAGACGAGATATCGCTCAAGCAAAATCCAGATCCAAATCCAGTCAATCGACTAAGCATGAAATCGAAGGGGAAAATGTGAGTTCACAACTGACTCCAAAAAGATTCTATGATTTGCGATTGTTCTTGTCCCTGAAGTGATCGCAGGAAGGGGCACGTAGTAGTTTTTCTAAGAAATTTCTCCTGTCTGGATGGCTTTATTCTCAAGAATATTATGCAAATCTCAAGAGAGTCACGGGAACTTTCAGCCACTGATTTAATTCTACCTGCAGACCAGACCAGACTTGGTATCAAGATACATGTTCTTGGACGAGAGTACAACAGACAAATCCATCCGTGACGACGTGCTGAGTTTCGTAATGGCTGGACGTGACAGCACCTCATCGGTACTGGCATGGTTTATCCACTGCTTGCTGAGCAAACCTGAAGTCGCGGAGAAGATTTTTGATGAGCTATGTGCCTTCGAGGCCCGTCATCAACCGACTCCAACTCTGAATTCCGGTAAATATGCATACTTGGCAGCGTCGCCTAGTTCGTCAAGTCTCCACATCTTTTCTGAATCAAACCTTCTCCCGTGTCGCACAGCTCTGCTCATATAACCATGCGCCAAGAAAATTAGCATCTTTTCTAACAGATCGTCAGTTTTGCAGTCCACGCTTCGGAGGGCGAGTTCAACGAGCATATTCAACAGTTCGTTGATCTTTTGACTTTCGAGGAAGTCACCAGTACCACTTCCAATTTCCAGTACTTGCATGCTGCCATCACGGAAACTATTCGGCTATATCCGGTCGTTCCACAGGTAAGGGATGAGTGATCAATCAAGCTAATACTAAGACACTCACAGAGAGAGTTTATACTATGGCTTAGTAGATACTCACTGTCTATCTGAAAATAGAGAATTTCAGGACGAGCTCTTCAGTCGACAAGCTACATTCTCAAGCATTTTAGACATCCAGCAGAGGTTATGAGTATACAGGAGTTGACTCATAGTCTCTTTGGACGATGGTCGTTGCCAGGATGTCAAGGGTGTACTAGAAGACGATGTTCTGCCGAGCGGACACACTGTGCGCAAAGGAGACTTGGTCGCATTCATTCCATACGCGATGGGGCGGCTGCAGGATCTGTGGGGACCGGATGCTGCAGAATACAGACCTGAAAGATGGCTCAACGAAGCCGGCGCTTTCGAGGGCGCCTCACCCTACAAGTTCACTGCATTCCAGGTAAACCTCCACTGGCAAAGCTGGCCGCTTTGCTACCTGTGCTCTCATGACATGCAACACTCCCTTCTAATGTGGGCTTAATCGTGCCTTGCACCTGACTGCCCGACTTACCATGCGGATTATTCTCGACACTGCGATTCGCAGGCTGGACCTCGCTCGTGCTTGGGGAAAGATGCAGCGTACCTGCAAATGAAGATAGTGATGGCTGTACTGTGCCGTTTCTTCAAGTTCGAGTCCGTCCCGGGGCACGAAATCGCCTACAGAATGTCTGCCATCCTGATGATGAAGGATGGCATGCACATCACTGCCTCGAGGCGTGCTTGATCGCAACACAGCTAGACCAACTAGCCAAATTTAAAACATATTGATTATTGAATGGGCCTCTCATGAGCCACGGAACACGATAGTAGTCATTCATCCAGTCATCGATAGAAATGAGGATTCAAAGCGTAGATGCGGCTGAACCGGTACACAATAAAATCAGCTCTTAACTAGTAGATTATCGGCAAATGACCTATATAGTTCATCGTAGCTTAATCAAATGCTTGCCTACGACATAACTGCAACCGTTTAATGATATAAAGTGAATCGACGTCAACTCATTATACGGTTAGTAATCTTTCCTGGGTTACCCATAGCTGCACACGCGTGGAATTCTTATTTATGTGTTCAGGAGCAAAAGCAAATAAAGCCAGGAACAAAAAAATGAAAAGAAGGTATAGTTTTTCTGAAATGTAAATACAATCAGAGACGTGCTGTGAGTAATTGTACTTGCTCAAGAAGTTACTGCGGCTGAATTGTACCTGCGACGGAAACATCTTATAATTGAGATATTCGAGTTTTGGTCCCCCGGCATATAGAAACTCTTTGAGCAAGCTTAACCATGTGAAACGAGTAAAATAAAGGGTGTGAATCAACGGCAGCTGCAGACACACACAAAATCTTTCGTTCGGACTTTGTATCTTAGTTTTGAGTCTATTCATAAATCAAAATTTCTTTGATCATTTTCACATCTGAATGGATAAATGGTTTCGCGTAAGCTTATTCAACTGTCATATGGTTTGAGTTATGATCAGCAAATGGCGTTTTCTTTCGTACTTTGTGAATTATCATTGTTTGATACAGTGTGAGTTGCAAAAAAATCTGATATCTTTTTCCACATTACTGTGTAGCGATGACAGCTGGAAATTGAGTTTGAGCCCTATAATACATCTCACCCATGCCTTAAAGTGGTGACATTCGGGGCACATTTCCAACCTAATACATACTGTCTGTAATAAGTTGAACTGAACTTCAGATGAATCTGATTCAAGTTCGACAGACCGTGAAAGTTTGAAATGATTAATAATAGTGTCAAAATTATCAGTCAGAATTTGCATGTGGGCCAAATTGACCTAGAACTGAGTGCATAAAGAAAATGATAAGCTTCTGTATGCACTCTGTTCTTCTTTACGTCATACCCTGATCTGAAACGTTGATCTTTGAACCATTCTATCTTTGAAATCAAATCTTCCGTCAGTCGCAGCTCCTTCCTGCCTATATAAGGCCTTCCATGCGATCACTCCGGTAGCAGAAGCAATTGTTCTTCCGGGCCTTCTCGGTGGGACAGAACTCCCGGCTTGAGAATACCCTCAATCGAGCTTTAGTCCACAAGAGCAGTAGTGGTGAAAGCGGTGTGTGGCTTGGCTTTGTGTTTAGGAAAAAGTTTCGATTTGAGCGTGTGAAAATGTGTAGTCTTCAGCCATACGCGGATCCGCAAGAGGAAGTAGTGTGGTGGGAATTGCTCGAGACACCGTGAGACGGCGCGAGGGCACGCGCGTCTCCTCGCGCCGTCTCACGGTGTCTCGAATCCCTCCCACCAGACTCCTGATTCCTGCCGGGCGCGTCCCCTCTCGCCTTGCATGAATCTAGACGCGGCCGAGAGATCTCCCTTGCGCCCGTGGGGACGTGCCCATAACTTCCTGCTCCGAACAGCAAATAGCCCCACTCTTGTTCCCAACGCTCCTACTTGACGAGGCGCACACTCGGGTATATTTCTTTCCTCCTTTTCTCCTTTGCATTCGAACATATGACTGCCGAACTCCCAGCCCGGCTCCCAGGAATGCGCCAATGCGCCTTTGGCCACGCCAGATAACCTTTAGATAGCACGTCGAAATGCGTTATTTTTTTTACTGCTTAGAGTCGTCATCTGGATCCACAAAACATTCATACCGGAGTTCTTTGGGGGTTAAAATCCGAATTGCATTCAGTCTCACAACTCAAAACTATGAAAGGCGGCTGGAACATTGCGCAATGAATTGAAAAACATGCTTCAATGAGAAGTATGATCTGAACCGTTGAGATATTCTGAAATGAAAGGGAGATTCTGAGAAGGTGCCCTGCTTCTTGGGGAGATAGGTACAGGTACGCACTTGGTCCTTCAGCTATGACACGTTTCTGAGAGACGAGTACTTGATGGAAGAAAGTCGAGACGCGTCCGGGAGATCCCCTTGCCGTGGGGAAGAAAACATAAAGAAATGATAAGCTTCTTTATACAGTCAGCTCGAATGTCCCCATTACTGTTGCGGCTTTGCTGCGTTTGAAACTCTGATCCATCTCTGTGATTTATTGTCGAGCAAGTTTCTGTATCAAACTCACTGCTTCTCGATATCAATCACTACCAAAGACATGTACTGTATTAGATGCTTTGAGTAGTATGTGGCATATATACCAAAATTAGTCTACATTTCTAATCCTTTCTTCGGGTACATTGTAGTCTAAAGAGGCACCTTTCCAGTACAATTTCAATCTTATTTGTGGAGAAGAATAAGTTTAGGTCAGTATAGATTTTCATTGTGTAGTATGTCTCTCAGATATTACATATGGGTATTTTAGTTTTTGTTCGAACTCTTGACTTTTACTGATCTATTTGGAATATTGTTAAAATTTATTTAAAGAATTTAAAATCGTTTTAAACTTTTGACAATTGATATTTTCACATATGATTTGTAGCGTTATGATTTAGTTATTTGAAACTGGTTATTATAGAAACTAGAGTGCAAAGGTTTATGTATAAACTTGTATTACTTTTACATTGATTTCTCATTGCTAATCTTCGAAGAAAGTACCTCATATGCCATGTTAATTCGAATTTTCATCTTAAAACTTCAAAGGTTTACACAGAAATATGCACAAAGTTCAAGAGAGTAATAGTTGTGATATGCATCCGTAGATGTCAGTCACTTTGATTAGTGTAATGTACATGATCACGCTGAGCATATCATTACTACAATGATTATTTGAAGTATGTCAATCTAGTCTTGGGATTGATCAGGATCTAAATTTTAATCAACTTCTATAGTTATGGAACATTAAGTTTTACTGTTAACTCATGTTTCCATAGGCTAACTCATACACTTCATTTAAGGCTAAGTCTACTTTTAATTTATAAGCAATTGATTGGTAGGTTAAACATGTTACCTTGATTTTGATTTCTCTGGGTGTTCCACATTGTTTATGTCTTTCTAGTTAGGGTAAAAGATGACAACTAGATTTGGAAGTTCTTTCAAAGCACATGATCATGAGGCTTTATCAGGTTAAATTTTGGATTCAATTACATGATACTCCACATTAAGCTTGATTGCAACTGTGTTAATTCTTCAATCGTGCAAATGAATAGTTTTCAAATGCATTGGCTATTTATAAATTTTCTATGTCTAATACCGAATATAAAATTTTTCTATTACATTTTTTTATCAGTGTTAAAGATTGCATCATCTATCTTGGAGTCCTAGTACTTATCATGATAGGTCTTCTTTATATTATATCTATGCACAAACTCAATCACCACAAATTCAATAATATTCAAGAATTGTTGTAGAGTTGTGCATTAGTAGAAAATCAAGATATGTTTATGCTTTTAGAAACCTTAACATGGAAATGATCCTTTTATTGGATTTACGTTGTTGTTTAAGCTGGATATCACAATTGGAAGAATATTAACTGTTATTGGTTATCTAGCTGTATTGTGTTAGTCCAGATCTCACAATTAAAGAAAGAAAAATTTAAGCATTAAAATGACTTTGATGAAACATATTTTATTTGGTAGTCATATCACAATCATCTACTATGTTACACCATTCATACTTCTAATGTCATTTTGTACATTCCAGTTTAAATAGCCATTTAAAGATATTGAGAGTCATTATAATTGCACAATGTATGAAATTTGTGTGTAAATGTATTCAAATTAAATTGTCTATTAGTTGAACAACAAATATTATTATAGTAGTATTGCATGTGAAATATCTTGGTACTTATCATTCTCGTAAGATGAATCTATGGTTGAATATTTTCTAATATTTGATCCAATATTTTTTACTAAATTACAATAGATTTTTTCTAATTAAATTTATTAACTATAATGATGTTTATTTATCATTCTAAAGTCTTGAGATTAACTCTGATTGAAGAGTAATTCAAGTAATAATTATTTCTAATAATCTCTTCGTTTTGAAATATTTAACCTAGCACTCACAATAATGAAATCACGTTACATTGGTGTATCTCTATACTTAGCGTTGTTGTCATCTACCTTCTCCAAAACGCCCCTCTAGATGCCTCACGAACTTAAAACAATTCCGCTTGTATGTCCTTAGCCAGAGGACGACTGGCCAGAGGAAGGCCAGGTGTCCTCCTCCACCTCTGCTTCATCACTCTCAGAATCAGACAGGACTGTAACAGGATGCAACATCTCCAACTCAGCTGCAGGTTTTTCTACCTTTCGTCTTTCGGGCACTCGAGCAGCTCTACATCCACGAATTCGCATACCTGGTACTGCGTCTCGCACAGCATATGGCTTGGGAAATCTCTTTCGCTTGCCTTCTTGGAGCACTGACTCCAAATCCGGGTTTCCTGATTGCTCGGAATCTAGTGGTTTATCTTCCTTACTGCTCGCTTCCCTGCTCCTACTCGGGCCTGTAAAGCTAGTACTGGGGTGAGATTTCTCAGAGTGATCCGACAACACTTGCGAACTGATGCCTACCATGTGCAATAGATTTTGAACAACAGGGTGAGAGACGACGTGCTCGGGATTAAGTAGACAAATGTCTGCACAGGTGAAAAACACGGAATTGTAAGGGCTGCCGAATTCCTTCTTGTGCGGACCGGTTATCCAGTACGCCTCGAAAACACAGGTGCAGCGCTCTTCTTCCTCGTCGAAGGTGTGGGGGTTTCGAGCAACATTCACGATTCGCGCGTCGAAGTACTTCACCTCTTCTTCCTTCTCGCCGTCTTCTTCTTCGTCGTCGTTTTCAAGAACGCCCCGAGCACAAACGACCATCCCTTCTTTGACGGAACGACATTGCTCGTCCTGAAGCTGGGAGGACGAGAGTCTGATCACATCCTGGACATGGCCTGCGTGTTTCCTCAAGTAGGCTATGTCCCAAAACTCGTCATCCTCGTCGAAGCCGTCGTACCGCACGAGGATGCCCTGGTCTAAAATCTCGACATCGGCATTATACCACGCCTCGTCCGCGACACATTTCACTTCCAGCTGCGCCGGACTCATCAGTGACCGGACTGGGATTCTAAATCGAGGTCCAGCGACCGCAGGCTTGTCCCGAGCGCTACCAGAGTTCGACGCTTTCTTGGCCACGAATTTCGGACTGGGATCCAAAATCGAGGTCGAGCGACCGCAGGTTTGTCCCGAGCGCTACCAGAGTTCGACGCTTTCTTGGCCACGAATTCGGACTGGGATCCAAGTCGAGGTAGAGCAACCGCAGGTTTGTCCCGAGCGCTACCAGAGTTCGACGCCTTCCTGGCCACGAATTTCGTAAGGCTCCCGAGAGGGAAATCTAGTGTCGACATCTCCCAATCGCCAGAGGCGGGAAAAGGAGCATTTCCAGAGCTTGCTAGTTAGCAAAGCATAACGATCTATCTCTTAAGAAATTTCCCTTCATTTCTCGACATAGAAGAATGCAAATCTTTGACCAACAGGTTATAGAAATCTTTTTATGGCGTATGTGTAATTGGTTTCATACCTTCTATACACTACGTTCTTCAAAGACGTAAGGTACACAAATAATATATTCTCCATTGTTTATATATATTTTTTGCTTTATCTCTCTTGGTTGCGTGGGTTTTCTTTCATATACGTTCATATTACACCTCATGGTATTCGTAAATCTTATAATATGGATGTATTTCATGACATCGTCAAATATTAATAACATTTGACTCAATTTCAAAAGTCATGAATACCAGCCATCTGAATTGCAAGAGGAGCTATAGAGGATAAAATTATATAAAATAAGGAAGTAAATAAAGAGGCCACGCTTCTTTTTCTATAAAATTCAAGTTGTTAAATTCGACATGTGGTGAGATAGATATAATAAAAACAATCTAGCCATTTATTTTACTAACATGTGTAAAAAATTGAGAAAAAATCGTGAGACCCCGAAGAGTTTGGTCCTTAAACTTGTTTGCACTCGCTTTGTATTGTTCTCCGTCGTTCTTCTAAAGCATTATCCATATCCATGAGCCTCCGTTGTTTCATATTAGATATAACTTTGTTGTAAATCTTTTCTGTTGTGGGGGTGAGTTTTTATCTATTCAATGTTTCTCTTATTAGAACGTTGACAACAGAAGCTAGGTCTAAAATATGTAGTCTAGGTTGTAGATAGAAAGGTCGAGTATATGATTGATCAACTCGTCAGAATACCCGACACTTCGAGGATGCTGAATTCATGTGGCCGCCATTTATTTGTCTGCGGTCAATGTATTACAGCAAAATAATTATCAAAATCACTTAAAGACATAGAGAGGGCGCCTGTCGTGGACCCTGTGTCTTGAGAATCGCTAGATGCAGTTTAGTGCTTTTTTGCTATGTCTCAGTTGTTCTGTTCTTTTCGGAAAAAATTTCGCAACATATGCCAGCAACATTTGGGCATTTCCATACACAATTTCAAGCAGCCAAATATTGCCCTCAACAGTCAGGAAGTGGTGATATGAAGTGCTGAAACCGCATGCATGCCAGTCCAAACCTTTCTTCTTTGTGAGCGTCGAGCAAGACAACCATCTGAAAGACTTTGGGTTATTCCATTAGATGGATTTGTTTAACGCACCAGTCAGGCGCTATTAAGGATCGAATCACATCGTAGCTCCCTCTGCAACCAGTGCTCAATACATAAGTACCCATAATTTTAAGCATAAAATCTGTCGTACCCATGCACAATACGGCAATGTCGAGGTGCTGAGTCATGTTTATCTGTACTAACTGCCTTGTCTACATAAACCTGAACTCAGAAAAGAAGCTTACATACATCCTGAAACAGTTCGGCAAATTTTGTCCATCCTGCCATGTCTACCATCCACCAAAAATGTAGACCAAAGACAGGTAGACGAGAAACAAAGAGAAATCAGTGCATTCCACGAGGTGGATGGATTGCATCGATGACAGTCCTCGGGACCTCGACGCAGATCGTATCGACCCCGACGTCGTAATCGCTGGACGAGGTACGCCGTGCCACCTGTGATGTAAAACCGTGACCGGACCGGACCTACCTGCTGTCACAGGGATCCGGTGGTGGCCCCGTGGCGTACAAGCGATTCAATTGCCTTCCGTAATGTACGTCGAGTACAGTTGTCTCAAATTCGAAGGAGAGATTAACTCCGTCTAGCTTTGTCGCCGGACGGAATTCAGCCACATCAGCGTCGGAGGCGGCTGTACAGTACTGCAATTTAAAATTGGCACTGGTGCCTGCGCTGCCCGACGGAGGGAGCGTCGTCAGGCGCGCAGCAGAGCGCTTCATATACGCTCCTTGAATCGAATGCCTCGTTCCCAGCTCGATGCGGAGCCACTCTCGGGCGGAAGGGTTCTAGGCCGCACGAAGCCGGGGCGTAGGCGTGGCGGGACGCACTGCTGCTGCTGATGCACGATATGCGCAGTTGCCACTCGTCCGGGGTCGACCAGGGATCTCGGCGTCTACTGCTGCAATTCTCCTGATCTCGTAAGTCCGACAGATTTGGTAAAATTCAGTTTCATTCGTGACAGAGATTTTGACGATTTTGTCAGCATGATTTCTTCAGCTTTTCTTCTGGAACCTGGAGTCTGTTTGTTACCAGCCCGCGCATGTATTGCTGAGAGATGTCGTCTTTGATTTTTTCTGAGAGGGACAGATCGGATGGAGACTCTCCGCGTTATATTTTAGACTGGCATTTTGAAGAATTGCAAGTAGCACAGACCCTCTTAGAATTAGAGTCTTGTATACGGGATATGTACATCCGAAGATTTGTGACTGCCTACATTTGGAGCCTGAGATCTGGTAACCAGAAGAATCAGTTCAGATGACTAAGTCGTTGCACACACGATGCCATTAGTGATTGAGGAACTTGTATTATCCATATTTATTGATATTTGAAGCTCCCACTGCTTAAAGTATAATGGTTTCTCATAATCATTCAGTTCGATAGCAGGTTGTTTTTCTATCGTTTCTCTTCGTTCATGCTAGCTGGTATGTGAGACAATTAACATTAGAAAGTATGCAATTTGTTCATTTCTGGAACTTTATCGGTTTTACAGCAGAATCTTACCACCGCCCAGCTCAGTTTCTGAGATATGGAGAAAAAAAATCGAAAAAACACTCTTCTTCTCCCATTTATGCTCTTAATTTGGGCAGGAGCTGTAAGCTCCGTCGTTGTAACGTACGACCATAGAGCACTCTTGCTGGATGGCCAGCGCCGATTTTTGCAGGGTGCTTCGATACATTATCCACGTAGTACACCCCAGGTGGGCCTTTCTCTTTCGTCCTGGTTGCTCTAGTACATTTTGATAAATTTAGTGTCTTCAGACGGATTCTGATTTTGATTTGTACCTTTTGCGATTAGAGTGTAAATAATCCTACGTCGATCCACATGAAGGAGATTTGAGTGCTCCAATTCAGCAGGCCGGTGTCATCTTATAAAAATCCGAATTCGATATGTCTCTAGTTTTCTTGGAATAGATGATCTCCCTTTACAAGAGGCATCCCCCCCCCCCCCTTGCTGTTACCGCGAGAGGTGGGGTCAATAATCTACTCGTCAGGTTCTTGGAGCCGAAGTTGCTGGAGCTCCATAGCTGGGAGTAATAGTGCTGCTAAAAACCCCCGTGAATCTTACTGTGACATCGGTGTTGCAGATGTGGCCGGGATTGATTGATTTGGCGAAGAAAGGAGGAATTGATCTCATCCAAACTTATGTATTTTGGGACGGTCATGAACCAGAGAAAGGAAAGGTATGTTCGATTCTTGTCCTTAGAAGGTAGCCCCCGGCCAACGAAAGAAATTGATGTATTTCATTGAGCAGAGAATCCGATTGTTTCGTGCGCGAGGATTTCTGCGTCCGTACAACAGTGTGCAGAAGGGCATCAACCCGCTGGCAGTCTGTTCCAACTTCCTACTTTGATTACTGCCAACTGCTTTATTATTGCTTTGTCAGTACCCCAACTGATTCAGTAGGTGGGCCCTACATTTGTATTGAACAGCCCCATGCAGTTTATATTACACGTACGGAAACTTGTGCTCTCTATTTTCCCATGCGACTGCGAGCAGTATCCATCAGAGACATCGTTACTTCACCAAGCCCCACCACCACTCTAGAGCAAAATCACTTACATTTGACTCTTGTCTGATCACATTTTCACAAATTCTTTTGGCTTGTATGATGTGAGGAATCTCCTCATCGCGTTGTTTGAGAGTTTCCGGATTTTCCTGGCTCAAAGATCGGGAATGAAGGATTATAACTTCAAAAATCAATCTGTTTAGATTTGTTTATCGGCAATTGGCTCTAAATGATCTTTGGCGAGCAATTCAATCCAAATATAACTTCCCAGCATCTTGTTACTTCTGAGCTTTGGAAGGCTTTCCGTAGAGGTCGAAAGAATGTGAGCATTCCGTGGCTTCCAGATGTACGTAAAAAGACGACATCCTGACGTTGATTATCGGGTAGAGTAGAATTTCATGTCTACAAATCTGAATAGCGCAGGAGATGAAAACTACTGTAATGATTTGGTGTAAATCATATAAAAGTAAATGACTTCTGACGAGCAATGCTTTTTAAGTAACTAATATGTGGGTGTGGATAAACAGTACGACTTCACCGGCAGGTACGACATTGTACAGTTCGTAAAGTTGGTCGCAGATTCAGGGCTGTATGTCAACCTCAGGATAGGACCTTACGTATGCGCCGAGTGGAGTTCTGGGTAGGCTCCTTCAACTCTTCGCGTATATCTCGAACATTCATGGCTGTGGGCCATAGCAAAACAAAGTGATTAACAACGGTTTGATTCTTCTGATTCGCGTGCAGAGGATTTCCCTTATGGCTGCGTGACATTCCAGGCATTGAATTCCGAACCGACAATGAACCTTTCAAAGTGAGTGGCTCATGATCAGAGATGAGGTTATGATCTGAATGAAATATACATCCAACAAAACGACTCCTGATTGACATATTCGCGTAAGTCAGTGAACTAAGATTTCAGAAAGAAAAATGAACCTTACAAGGATATGATGTGAGGACCATGTCGATATTGCAGGTGGAGATGGAAGGATTTACCAGAAAGATTGTGAGCCTTATGAAGGAAAACAATCTTTTCGCATCTCAGGGAGGTCCAATCATCTTAGCTCAGGTATGTTTACTGCCTCAACCATAAATTAATTCATAATTTAGCCTATTCACTTCCCTAGTGTACAGCTCCATGAAGAAATATTCTACTCCAATGGAAGTCAACACTGCAAGTATTCATAAAATTATCAATACAGGTCCTTTATGGTGTACCACCATCAGTGCATTTATACCAGTGAACCTTGGGAGACTCGTGAGCTTTGCTGAACTTCATGAAGTCGTTGCAATAGGCACAGGCAGTATAATAAGACGAAATGTTCTAGTACAGAACGGTGTCTTAAATTAAAGCTCAGTGCAGTTATCTTACAAATCAAATCAATTTCAAAGAAAGAGGCTTTAGCCTGTTGCACTTAGTCTGGGACTCTACCGCTAAAGATTTGTACAGTGCCTCTGTGAAGATTTCATTGTCTTTAAGGGTATCTAAATCAATCAGTCTGATTTGCTATGTTTCACGCAGGTGGAGAACGAGTATGGAAACATTGATAGCGCATATGGAGCTTCCGCTATGGCCTATATAACATGGGCGGCGAAGATGGCAGAGGGACTTGATACAGGTGTACCTTGGATTATGTGTCAACAAGATGATGCTCCTGCCAACATTGTAAATTCTTTTCGTCCACGTGATTTCTCCGTACTATTTTTTCTTGGAACCTGAAGATAGAGCAGTTAGATGCTTGTTAACTCATACTCTAAAAGGAATGTTATGCGAATGCTTTATCCAGTAGTCAAGTATATATGAATCAGTACTTTCTGTGGATATAGTCGCTACTGAGACTTAAAGAGGGCCAGACCAAATGGGCTTACCCAATTCAATCGCTTACATCGTATCACTGAGACCTTGCATTGCTCTAGAAATGTCATGGGTGTCGATATTCTGTTAGAGTGCATATAGAGTTTGCAAAGAAATCAGCCACAGAACCCGCTCTGTATAGTTTTTATCAATTAGAAGCTGGAACTGGTGATCACTGATTGTTCAAATGATATTACGAACAACAGATCAACACGTGTAATGGATTCTACTGCGATTGGTTCAGTCCCAATGATTACAGCAAACCGAAAATGTGGACAGAAAACTGGGCTGGCTGGTAAGTGCTTTTCTGTTTCGATCAGGAGTCGAACATAGCATAAAGTCTCCCCTGCAGGTCTCTTTGATGTAGTGTTAGTAGTGATAGTCGCAGACCCAGCTGCTGTGAAAACCGAACATTCAGCAGCTGCTCCAGACCACCAGGTGGTCTTTGAATACCTCAAATGGTTGAGAAGTCAAGGACAAAAGCAAAGCTGGTTTCAATGAGGAAGCTTAGCTAGGCATGTCATGGCTAGCTTGTTTTGACAGAAGATATATGTGATGACCAAGATATGTTCAATTAGTGCCAGAAGATAGCTCAAAAGAAGAACTGTCTATCAACAGGTTTCACAATTGGGGTAAGAAGGCTCCTCACCGACCCGCAGAAGACGTTGCTTATGCAGTGGCTCTATTTTTTGCCAAAGGTGGCAGCTTCCAAAATTACTATATGGTGCGTAAACCCTTTCAAAAGACTGTACAGGTATTTTTTATCTTCAAATTCTAAGAAGAGAAAAAACTTCTGAACAGATCCTTTGAAAAAGCTTCTGTTCACAATATCGGAAAAGCCCGATTGTTGTGTATGCAGAAATCGGATATGAAGTGAGTTACCCGTCGAAAGCATTTATGTTTGTTTCTTTGTATGTTTGCATGTACTCGTGGCTGTGATATGAAATTTTAGTACCATGGAGGCACCAATTTTGAACGAACTGCCGGGGAGAGGATTGCCACCAGCTACGACTATGACGCGCCTTTAGATGAATATGGTGTAGAGACTTATCTATCACTTTCCAGTTTGAAGTCTATCGTAGCCTGTTAAATTTTTGAATTTTTGAATTTTTAAATTTTTTTGCGTTGGCACTGCAGAAACTTCATTTTTCATCTCATTCTTGTGGTTCCCATTCTGGTTTCTCAAAACTTGTTTGCTGAAATTTCGATCTTTCTTGCCTCAATCTCGATTTGATCTTACTGTCATTATTGCAATGGACAGGACAAGTAAGAGAACCCAAGTATAGCCATCTGAAAGAGCTCCATGCAGCCATTAAAGCATGTGAACCAGCTCTAGCTGCTGTGGATGGAGATGCGTTTACTATGAGTCTTGGCTCAACATCAGAGGTTTGAACAAGAATGCTCCTAGAGCCAATAATACTTATCTGCTAATGTGTTTCTAAGTGATATGAACACTCAACAAACTCTTTTATTGAGCCGATGTGGACCACATCTTCAACTTACTTCGAACGGAAGTTCACAAATCTATCTAGAATAACTTTCACTACATGTATGGACCAGGTTCATGTCTATGGGAACGGAAATGGGAATTCTTTGGGCCAGTTTGTATCGAGCTCAGAAGTTTGTGCTGCATTTCTCGTGAATTGGGGTGATAATGCCTCTGAGACCGTGCAATTCAACGAAGGGTCTTACGACTTGCCAGCCTGGTCTGTCAGCGTTTTGCCCGATTGCAAAAATGTCATTTTCAACACTGCTAAGGCAAGTCTCTACACACAAGTGTTTCAACCGCATGCAGACTGGAAAGAGACTGCTGGGCGGTTGTCGCTTTCCGTTTAGTCCTCACTGGAATGTTAAGCTACCCTGTTGATGGACCTTCTTCTATGTGTTTTCTCTTTCACCTTACTTCTTCTTATAGTCAAATGCACTGTACCATATAGCACGAACTTACATCAACTGTCCTTTAAGGCGACGAGTTTGTTGCTAAGTGGAGTGTAGCACAAAGATAGCTGTCCCATTTTGTGTCATAAAATTGGAATCCAGGTTCATTCAGTTTCTCTTCCTCATCCATGTTAGATATTCTACCTCCTTACAGAGTTCAGAGAGAAGAAAGGGTTTATGATTTAGTTTAAACTCTCAGATGGTAGCTCAAAACGACTTGACCTGTCTACTTGCAATTTTATTACCAATGTAGGTGGCTGGTCAGACAGCGATAAAGATGATGAAAACAATAAAAACTGCAGCATCAAACGGACAAGAAAGTCTCTTTGTCGCCTCGACATGGGAGGCGTGGCGAGAACCAGCATCTAAGTGGGGAGACACCATCACTCATTCAGGGGGATTTCTAGAGCAGCTAAATATGACGAGGGCCGCTACAGACTACTTATGGCTTACGACCGTGTATGCCAATTCCCATACGATGAATTATATAATTTCCATAAACGTTTGTATAATAGTTTCATCGTAATAGTCTCCGTTCGATTTTCTCAATTTATTCTTTCAAATTAAAAGGCCAGATCAGCAATCCAGAAAATCTACTATATCAACCACTGTCACTACCCAATCCTTTGATGCTAATTGGCTAATGTCTTCTTCGTTGAATATTTGACCTACAGCGTTGACGCATCAGATTCTTCTACTAGCGCAAGTATCCATTTAGATGGCGTGAAGGACACGGTTCACATCTTCGTAGATGGAGTTTATGCAGGTACACTACATTGGAATCTTCCAAATGTTTGGGATTCGATATTGCCTTAAGTTACATGTTTACAACGAGCCAAGTTGAGTCTTATGTTTCCATTACATGTTCAGGCAGTCCAGATGAATTCGATTTGGAAACGGTGGAGCAAAAGATTAATTTAAAGAAGGGGCAGAATTCCATCTCTGTGCTGTCCATGACACTTGGACTGCAGGTATGTCAGTTATGGAAAAATCAGACTCTCCTTAAGTAATAGCTCTGCATGTTCGACCTATAAGTTCTGAACATGTATGTCATCTTATGAATTGCTCCAAACAGCATTGGACAAGATGGGGTACATGTTCCAAGCGTATGCAGACTCGCCACGTTTGTATGGTCCCTCATGGAAAAACATGGTTGTATTGCTTGCGCTTCAGATATCTTCTTGTTGAAGATCTAGATCTGTTTCGCGTCGTTCAGTTTTCAGAGAATTAGACACTCATTCACTTCCTAACCGTCCGCTTTAGAGACCATTAAGTGTGGCATTCGACATACTCTAGCCAAGAATTCTTTTATCTCGATCTATACTCTTCTGGTGATCACAGTTGAAAATTCTGGCCCTCTTGGAACCATAGACATCATATTTCTACACACTGAAGCAAGATTGAAAGTTACTCGTTCTGCTGTTAGCTCATGTTCATAGAGCTACTTTGCTTCTAATGTTCCCTTAGGTTTCCAGACCGTTCATAGCCTTAACTCCTTTCCTGTGTGAATAGATTTTTCGCTTTATAGAAAACCGTCCGTTATGTCACCCATCCATGTTCATAGTTCAATGAATTTGCATGTGATCACTTTCACAAATATTCAGACGTTCTATATGCCTTCAGTGAGGCATGCATGACAAGGAAAATGCTTCTTTGCAGAACTATGGAGCATATCTAGAAAAGGAGGTCGCGGGAATATCTGAGGCCAAGCTCGTTGGACTCTCGACCGGAGATGTAGAACTCACGAACCAAGAGTGGGAATATCAGGTAGAAACAGACACTGCTACACACCCAGTTTTGTTCGGTTGTGGCCCGGTCATGGTGAAAGAACGAATCTAACCTGTGGTGGGTTTTCGGGGCCTCAATGTTGTAGTTTCTTGGGCCGTTTTGCTGCTGCCTCGCGCAGCTGAAAATGGGATTCAGCCTTGCGCGGGTTTTCAACAAGAACGATCTGAACCTTGTGTAGATTGGTCTGAAAGGGGAGGAGCTAAAACTCTATACGGAAGCGGGAATGACAAAGGTTACATGGGAGTCCGCAGCTTCTCTTCCAGTCAATCAACCCCTCCACTGGTACAAGGTACGAGCAGACCTGAAAGGTGTGATGCAGTTTGCGTACGGTTTTCAACTTACATGGAAACTGGTTAGCACGTTGGAAACAAATTCTGTTAGAAATTTACGTTCTTTGCAGTACAGTATACCTGGTCGGTGCTCTGAAGTTGGAACTATAGTATAATCTTACTTCAAGATTATAGTAATTTTTAGAGTAAGATTCTGAAACCATATCCTATACTTGTCTTCCTCCTTCAGTTAGATCACGCGTATGCTCTAACATGAAAATTTCGCAGACGACGATCGATGCTCCCAGTGGGAATGGGCCCGTAGCACTGGATCTTGGGACCATGGGAAAGGGTCAAGCATGGATAAATGGCGTCAGCATCGGTCGTTACTGGACACTGAAGCAAACACCATTTCTAGACACAGTTGGTGGTTGTTCAGATGTATGCGATTATCGCGGGACTTACAAATATAACAAGTGCACTACGGGATGCGGGGACATTGCACGCTGGTAGGTGTACCGAAATATTTTTTCGCTTCTGAAAGCTTCCAATTGATTGTTCTTGGACTCTTCTTGCTTGCTTCCTTCAGGCACCCAAGAAAGAAATCACAAAACTTGTGAATTCGGATTGCTTGAAGTGTCTTATAAGTAGAATGATCAGGACTTGAAGACTCACTACACCCTGCCTTTCTGATGCTGATGAGCATTCAGGTATCATGTTCCACGAGAATGGCTGAAGGCGACAGGTAATTTGTTGGTGATATTTGAAGAAACAGGAGGTGACCCCACGGGTGTCTCCCTAGGAACACAGATTATGAACAAAATCTGCGCGTATGTTTCGGAATCCCATCCAGTGTTCGTATCAGGCAACGTCAACACCATAAATTCCCATCCGCTAGTCCAACTTGATTGCTCTCCTGGACATATTATTTCAGAAATACGTTTCGCCAGTTTTGGAACTCCTTCTGGCACGTGTGGAAGATTTCAAGAAGGCATCTGCCATTCTTCACAATCCACCGAACTTCTAGTCAAGGTACGTTTTGCATACCATAAATTCTTTCTTGTTTATCCCGGTCATACGAGATGTCTGTTCGACTGACTGAAATTTTTTACAGAAGAACTTCAAGTTACGACATTGACTGAAATTTTATACAGAAAAACTTCAAGTTAAGACACGTGCACGAGATAGTGTCATGTATCACCCAGCTAAACATTAGTTCTCTACTTTAAGTTGGAGCTGTCCAATATGAAATGAAGACTGGAAGGACGGACCCCTCTGTTTGAAGGACAGTCAATGAACTTGCACCAATCTCATCATACAAAGCCCCTTGATTATTACTAACTTGGATACAGCGCTTTCTGCTAATAATCTCAGCAGATGCATTAATTTTAAACAGTACATAAGAAGATTCAAAGTCCACTCGTGCTATCTTTGATTGTACCAAAATCAAAAATAGTATTCTTTAATCGGACTGAGTAAATATTTCTGACGATAACCGTAATTTCTATCTACAGGAGTGTGTTGGTAAGCAGCAGTGCTCTGTCAACGTGACATGGAAGAGCTTTGAAGCAGAAGATCCTTGTCCTGGATTAACGAAGAGTTTGGCAGTAGAAGCTGCCTGTGAAGTAACTACTCCGATGATATAGGCCATCTACTATTCCACATGCGAGATTAAATTATGCACCGAGGGAAAATTAAATCTCAAACTCAAGAAAACGATGACTTATCCATCGCCACTACTCCCTTTGAAACCACTGAAGGTGTATGGATCCGACAAAATCCCAGACTGACCTCATCATCGAGATTCATTATTATGTGCTGGTATATCCAAAGCAAAACCCCTACCGTTTGATGTCATAGCAGAACATGTCAGTGTGTATATGATTCCAAAAAGAGAGCAATAAAATACGGTGGTATGACTGGTTTTGCTTGATGCTAGGTGATTGGTCCTACCTTGCAAGAAGGTGCTGCAACTAAAGTACAAGATTACCGAACTGTTGATAACGACAATCGAAAGTTGGAAGCTTTTAAGCAGCGCGCCGTTCTTCCTGATCCCATGATGAACACATCCAAGACATAGTAAAGCTCACGGGATATGCAGGAGCAATAAATATTGCGATCATGAGTAGACTGTTAGATTGTTTGATCTATTAATCTCGTACAAAGACTTAAAATGCGGATTCTCAGTAAGAGAGATGACCGGAGGAATACCAGCAGTTCGAGATCTAGCCATCAAAAGAAAAGATGTACAGAATACAAGAGAAGTGTACCGAGAAAGTCATCCTTTCTCGGTACACACTTGTATTCTGAGAATCTGTTTCTTTACATTCAGGAGAAAAGCTCCAGGAAATGTGGAATGACGATCACAGGAATCTCTGTGATCATGTTTCGGTACATGGTACGCTGTCGATACATAAATTTGGCGAATACCTGATGTCCTCTGATATGTGACGTCCACTTATGCATTTGTCGCCTCCAGCATAATGTTCGATAAATGTTGGAAACGAGAAAACATCGCGGGGAAGAATGGTCATGTTCTGTTCAAGTGTCCTCTCGCGACCTCCCAGCAACCAAGACATCATCAGCAAGTTGCTCTTGAATTGTAAAGCAAGTGAAATACTAGCAAACTGTTTGATTAGTTCCTGGATTGTAAAGCAAATATTCCTTCAAATATTCACCACATCCAATGAAGATAAGCTTCTTACACTTCAAAGTTTACTCCTCTGTTCCATTGTGATATGAGCATAGGCTGGTTCACCGTACATCCTCAACATGGTAAGATCAGGCTTCTCTAAAACTCCAGGCTTTTTCTGATGTCATGTTGTTAAATGCCGTCGTGGGATTTCGATTTTGATATAGTTAGCTACCTTGACAGGTGCACAGTTCTACTGTACTGCATCTCAAGCTGAGCATGTTGAAGGCTTTTCATTCTAAAGTTCTATATAACCTTTCCACAACTCCATTTTTTGAAGGACTATCACTAGCTGTCACATGTGACATTAGCCCCTTTCCTTTTTAAATAGCAACAAACTTCATGTCCTTATACTCCAGTATTATATCAGATCAAATTTTTCTATATTTTTTACCCTTTCAGACTAAAATGGTTGAATTTCATTCAACCATTGTAACAAAAACTTCAAATTTTTCAAGCTTATAGTTTTTGCTTTCCAATTAGTACTTGAAGAGTTCTTTACTATTGTCTTATTTGAAAGTTACAAAACATTATGCAACTTGTAGAGACTTTTGCCTCACAAGTCTCTACAAGTTATGAGATCCAACAGCTCCTTGGATCTTGCTAGTACTTGAAACATATCATTCTCATAACTCATTCGAGAGCTATATGTTGAGTCTAAACACCAACCATTAAATCTCAGATATATATACTTTTTGTCGAAATTCATGTTGATGAAGTAACTCTCTTCATTATCTGAATAAATTTCTCCTTTGATGGAGGAATTTACTCCAGGTTACCTTTTCCCTCTTTCTTAAAATTTTTCTGTGCTCCTAAAGTTTGAGATTTGCCTAACAAGCATCTGAGTTTTTTCTGGTCTTCTTCTTGCACTGAAAACTTAGCTGAAATGTTTTACCGGCTGAGTCAAAACTTTCCAACTCTTTCTTTTTCTCCTTTGCAGCACTTTCTTTCTCTACTTTTTTATTTTATTAGCAAGAAAAAGCGTTTTCTTACTAGTTTCCTCAAACATAGTTGCAAAAATATACTTTTTTAAGCCTAATTTCATGATTCTTGATCATCAAAAATAGAATTGAAGGATAAAATGATGATCTCATGGTTGGAAGAAAAAGTACCGGAAAGATGTGCAACCTCAAAATGTGAAAATATTATAGAACTTGTTTCTCCTTTTATAGGCAAAATGCAGAGCAATTTTGCAAAGATCTTATGAACATAATTTTAAGGTTGATATTTCTTCGTGCTATCTAGCATTCTTCAGATTAACAAATTTTTCTCACAAACTTTTGCTTTAAGCAAAATTTAGCTATTTCATGCATAAATGATATTTTGGACCATTTCCAGCTGGGCATTGCATAGTATATCCTTCATAATCCTCAAAGTGACAATATGATTATGCTAAACAATCTCATCATCAGAAGTCTGCTAAGTGTTCAAAAGAGAAGAACAACAGTACTTCATTTAACCATAGGAAAAATAGCGAAGTCACAGTGTGAATGCCAAAAATGCAATAATTGAGAAGAAAAAATTGCGAAAATTACCTTAATTCTCGCAAACTTGGCATTTGCCAGATTTTAGGAGACGTGATTTACATTCTAACTGTTAGAATGTAAATCAAGCCTCATAACATCCTCAATTTACACTGTAAATAGAGTTAAACAGTCAACCTTCTCTTAAAAGAAATCCATTGAAGGAGTAGTCAAATTCATGAGCATCTGAAGTTCGAAAGTGTAACTGACCTTTGAACATTGTTTCATATCAACGAAACAACGGCAAATGGCAGATATAGAATCCCGAAGTGGATCAATCATCCACATCATGGCAACCAGAGCCATGAAACCAGAAGACACGTCTATACTACACGATGGAATACTGTCTCATAAGCGCACCCGGGGTTGGAGTTGCCCTGGCAACCACATGAGCTACATCGTAATCGATGCCTCGAATATGGGGCTGGGCCTTGACATCGAGACCAATAATCAATAGTGACCACTACCACCGCCAAGTCAGAGTTCTTAGCCTTCAAACATGGATATTAACCCGGCTAGATTTCAACCACTTCCCACCAAAGCAATATTGAAGGTCAGTGTGGATTCGGGGGTCGTTTGGCATAGATTGGTAGCCAATCCGCAGCATCCCTTGAAAATGAATGATATGAACTTGATGCCACAATATAAGCTAGAATGACTACCAATTGAGTTTCTTGGAAATGCTTGGGTCTTAAGAGATTCGATACGTGACAAAGGTCTAAGACTCTTTCCATTATTGCTTCACCATTCAGTGATACGAGAGGAGACTACAAATCAACTTTAAGTTACTGTGAAAATTGCTCCGGGTCTAAAGTCAGCGGCGGGCAAAGTGAAATTAATATGGGGCAAAGCATGCGGAAGTGTAATCAAAACGTGGAAATAGTGCGTATAATATCCGTTCGTAAGTTATAGACCCCGTAGAACAAGTTTGTCGGAGGGAAAAACAAACTGGATGCAATGTAGCATGCTTCTCATCAGATAGGTTTTCTTATCTCTGTATCTTGTTTGTAGTCAATTATTTTAATTATGAAGCCCCGAATTATAATGGCCTAACGATATTTGCATGTCCTTGCACCTTTCCAGATCAGTGATGGCGCATTGTTAAAATCTATTTAAATCTATTTAAATCAGATAAAACCTCAATCTTAATCCAAAAACATTAGCAAAGATCGCTCGTGAGACTCAGTTTTATTTCCTGCATAAAATTTCGAAACAGGAATATACACGAAGAGTTGTGCAGCTTGGTTCTTCCACATCAGAACAAATACATGGAAAAGTAAAAGATCTGATAGCAATCTGGTTAATGTTCAATGTCGAATTTTGTGGAGTGGATGCCCACTCTCTCGGTAGATCAATCGAGTTCAGTTTATACAGCTGTACGTTCATACCGCCATGCCCATCTGCACACGTAAAGCCCACATCCGAATAAATTCCTCACTGGTTCCTGAATTCCAGGAATTCCGTTACACTGTACCCGTGTGTCGCCCTTGTAGCAGGAACTGACATTATTTGCGCATAGAATACATGAGATTCATTGTAGAAAAGCAAACCATGTCTATGAATTCAAATAACATGCGTATATTCAAGTATCCAAGCAGTCAATCCTGTTGTAAGTCTGTTTTATCATATTGCTATCGGATGTAGTATCTTGAAGTAACATGAAATCTGTGCTTAATTCTCATCAGCAATGTTGTATCACTAAGCTACTAAGAATCTATGTTTCTTCTGTCCACTACAGAAGTCTGATCATGAAGAAGTAGCTCTAGATCATATATTCATAATGGGTTGAAAATTTCCGGGTACAGGAAAAAAATTTGGGGAGCTGACCGTTCATGCCAGGAAAGGTTTCTCGAAGCTAATTAACAAACAGACGTGGAAGAAATGGGTGGTTTACTGATACACGTAGTGCAATGACACTAGTTCAATAAAATTGATATCTCTTCAATGAGCGGACTTTCTTCTGTACTGTAACATGGATCAAATGGATATCTTGGGGAGGCAAACCGACTCATGAAAGACAAACTGATCAGTCTCAACGAAGTTTGAATAGCATTATATTATTATTACCATCATAATCATACGATTTGATGTAATTAAGTAGATGTCCATTACGGACCTTATCAGCCAAAAGACTTCTTGTTGAGAAAACCATCTTTTTTTTATAGATTAAACAAGATTATAGAAGTTAAATTTCATTGAATACACAATGTCTTTTCGAGAAGAAACTGCACACTGGTTTGTATTCTACTCTCAGGCTAGGGGGTTATGAATTTTATAAACCCACTTAGAACATAGAGAGCTAAATTTTGGCTCCCTAAGATAAGCTCCCCAAGAAATTCTTATGATTATTTGATGCAGGGGTGACAGCGTTTGAAGAGTGGGGTTAAGCCGGCATGAGACTTGAAAGGTTAAAAGCTGGATCTAGGGACTAAACCCCAAACACATCCGAGTTTAACTGGCTCTTTTTATCCCAAGCACCTTGCATTCGAACCATAGTAACCTGAATCCTAGTGGAATGGAGTTTTCTCCGGCAGAGAGCTTTTTACATTCGTCTCCAGCCCCTAGCGTTGTGGAGTCAACTGTTCATCTTGACAATTTGAAGTTAAATTACAGGCGCAATTTCTTGATTACAGGTGCTTCCAGACTGCTCAGAGCTGCTGTGGCACCATGAGGACTGACATTTTCCCCGTAATTTTCTCCTCCAGCGTCACAGTTCTAAAAAAAGCCGCTACATGCACGGTTACACACAATTGTGAGGAGGCAGCTCTCAGCTAGATGTTCATACACAGCACAACGAAAGTTTCCCAACATTTAGCTTATTTGGGGAACTGGGGCTTCTCCTCTACGATCAACCATTGACCCTGCAGTCAAATGGAATTTCACCTGATAGTATCACCGTATTGGACCTTCTTCTTTCTTCTCTCGCCCTTTGATCCCACTTTTGCACTCCTTCAAACATACCTGAGTGTTAGGATCTATTCGAGGTAAAATAAACAGTTTGACAGGTAATTGGGTCAAATTTCGTCTAGCATGAGTTGGAAGATGGTCATAGTAGCCTCCCATTCATCAGCTGAGCTGAGCTGTTCTACTGATGTACTTGGCTGCCAGGCATTACCATCAGTTGTTCTTTCCTTCCTGGGTCCCGCTGTGTGTTTTCCACGGTGTTTTGGCACTAATTTAAGACTGAAACACTGTGAATTCACAGCAGAGTTTTACATCACATCATTACTTCCAGCTGTTTTAGCTTTGATTTCACTAAAAGCCTGAAATTTGGCCAAAAACATGAAATCCAATAGATCGGTCCAGCATAAGTCCACACCCATTTGACTCATGAGGAAAATGGATGTTTGAAAATTCCATCTCCTGGAAATCTCGTAATCCCCAAATAACCGGAACATTGCTGCTGATTCTAAATTCCACTGTTTCAGATTTGCAATCGAAAACCTGTTTCTCGTGTGGGAGTATTTATAGAGGCAATGACGTCATGGAGATTATTTCCACATAAACCACTCCGTCTTCGATCATCAGGTCAGTTAATAAATAGCAAACAATGAAGGTATGGATGCAAACTGGAATAATGATCAAGTAAACATGACTATAAAATTGGTCGAAGAATCTTTTTCTGGATATTGCAGAGAATCGTTGTCTCGTTCATTTCGAGAAGTTTTCCGGGTGTATATAACAGCCAAGTTCTGAATGGCAAATACTTCTCATTGTTCGACATTAGTCGCGCGGAATTGAGATTGTTCTGGCGACTAGTTGTTCTCTTCCTCCTCCCTACTCGATCATCTCTGCAAACCTCATTTGCTTCTCGATCATAGCCCTTGTTCATTGCCATCGTAGAATTTGACATCTGATTCGTGGACATAATCTTCTCAGTTACTTCCATATGCACAATTATCTGGGACGATTTGCACAAGCTCCAAGAAGTGAATTCAGACCTTTGGTACAATTTGACTCGGCTCAAATTTATTCGTCTGGACTTGAGAAAACTCTACTCTCGAGCTTTGAGAGTCTGTGCACTACAGGGAAGGACTACATCAAGCCCAGATGCAGTCCATGTACTTGCCTGGGGAAGGAGCTGCTGTACATGCACACTTGAGCAATCTGCCCAAATCCTCTCCGAATCAATGGAAGCACATGCTCGCCTTGCCATCGGATCCATCGAGCTCGACCGCTCGATGGGGCCGTTCTCAAAGGCCCCTTCAGCTTACTATCGTTAATGCGACTCCCAACAACAACGGAGAATCGTGCCCCTTCAGTGACACCTTCATTTCGACCGAGGTAGCAAAAGACGGCTCTAGTAATGCGAAAGAGAAGCAGAGGAAGAAGGACGCTAGGTTTTTTGTGCCCTCCATGAATCCTCCACCAGTGAATAACCTGATGAGGTCCAAAACGGTACAGCTCCAGAAGTTGATTGCATGGCTCCGTGTTTGCCGAGTTTGTTGTTTTCATGCCATCTCCATCAAACGCTTCCTCGTCTCGCTGCATGTACCTGAAGTGATTGTGAAAAAAATGACGAGGAATGGTGAACCAATATCAGTAGAGGTGTTTTGCAGTAGTCTCTGCCGTAGTGGCAGATCTCTCTAATAGTGGTCTGATTCAGAATTCCCGATACATTCTACAATATGTTTGATAACTAAATGAATGTGCAGGAAGGAGAAGGGCCAAAAGCTTGGCCAGTTCTGGGTGCCCTTCCGGAGATTTTGCTAAACTATGACAGAATGCATGACTGGCTCTTGGAAAATTTCGAAAGAGCAGGTCTCACATTTGCCGCACCCATGCCCACAAACACCTACTTCTACACCGCCGATCCAGCTGTCTGTGAATACATTCTCAAGACCAACTTTTCGAATTATCCGAAGGTAACTCATCCCTTAGATGGCTTCTCTTATAAATCTATTAACACTGTGGTGAAGGGCTTTTTGAGCCTGAGTTTCAGCTTTTGCAAAGTCTCGTGTCTGTGTTTGTCAAAACTTCTCTTGTTGCCATTTTTCTGTCTTCAACACAGCTTTCGTCATTGATATCGTTCAGCCCTCTAATTGCCGAGATATTCCTCTACATTGGACCTTCTTGCTCTAGGAATGTGAAGAAGCAAGATCTGCTGTATGCCAGGATTGATGCCTGAACTGATGTTTTGAGATACTTCAGTTATCTTTTCATTTTCGTTCTTGAAATGAACTCGAGTGATCACGACGAAATTAAAGAATCAGGCACTGCTGTGCGTCATAAGTTAGGCACAAAGCACAAGTTATTTGCTTCATGAAGTCTCATAGTGTAACAAAATTTCTGCATTGCTTTCAGTCGTCTCTCTAATGATTGCAATTTCAGATCAGATGTTCCAGGGTCTAATAAGGTGCTATTATCGTCTTGTGGATGCGCTTGGTCTAACAGTTCATGCATTTTGTGTTGGAGCCAATGATGAGATCGATTCGCCATTGACTTTCTCAGGGAGAAATCTTTCAAGAGATTCTATACGAGTTCTTGGGAGATGGCATCTTCAATTCTGATGGTGAACTATGGAAGAAGCAGAGAAAAGTTATGCAGGCTGAGGTTCAGCGAAAGGTGCTTCGTGATTACAGCCTAGTAACCTACCGGAAGAAGGCTCACCTTCTCGCCTCCATCGTAAGCAAGGCCTCTTACTCTGCAACGTCTCTCGAAATGCAGGTACTGCACGCTCTGTCGACAGATTGATCCCTGAAATATTCAAGCTCGGCCTCGAACCGTCTTCTGTATGAAAATTGTTCCAAGTTTCATTTGACTTGTTACTTGAAATCGTCCTTGGTGTCAGAGCCTTCACCTAACTTCTGATCGTTCCTGAGTGACTTCACGTTCTCTAGATCTAACAGGCTTTGGATGCAAAAAATTTTGCAAAGACTCACTGATCCAGTTTCTGCCACTGATCATGTCTAGGATCTTTTTAAAAGAATGACCCTGGACACCATTGTCGAGGTTGCAACTGGAGTGAGATTGGGAGCACTGTCTCATGAGCTGCCATACGTGCCATTTCAATCAGCATTCGATGAGGCAAACGTGAATGTGCATGCAAGATTCGTCGACCCATTTTGGAGAGTCAAAAGATTCCTGAACTTAGGCTTAGAAGCCCGATTTAAAGGTGCGGTCCAGTACATGGACACATTTCTCTACGATGTGATTCGGACCAGGAGACGAGATATGGCTGAAGCAAAATCCAGATTCAAATCCAATCAATCAACGAAGCCTGAAGACGAAGGGAAATTTGTGAGCTCACAACTCACTCTAAACAGATGCTATGATTTCCTTTGGTTCTTGTCCCTTGAGTCTAGGCGATTGCAGGAAGGCTGACGTAGTAGTGTTTTGGTGGAGATTCTCGTGTATGGATGCTTTGATTCTCGAGTAAATTGTGCAAATTTCACGAGAGTCACCCGAACTTTTAGTTACTGATACAAGTCTACCGGCAGACAAGAGCAGACTTGGCATCAAGATACATGTCCTTGGACGAGAATGCAACAGACAAATCTATCCGTGACGACGTGCTTAGTTTCATAATGGCTGGACGTGACAGCACCTCATCGGTACTGGCATGGTTCATCTACTGCTTGGTGAGCAAACCTGAAGTCGCCGAAAAGATTTATGATGAGCTATGTGCATTCGAAGCCCGGCATCAACCGACTCCAACTCTGAATTCTGGTAAATATGCATACATCACAATCGACGACGTCCACGAGTTCGTTACTGTCTTCACAGCGTTCAGAATCCAAATTTTCTCCCTTGTCGCACAGCTCTGCATCTATAAAGGTGCCTCTGTTTTGAAAAGAATGAGCTGCTTTTCTGATCGACCGTCAATACTGCAGTCCACGCATCAGAGGGCGAGTTCAGCGAGCGAATCCAGCAGTTCGTTGACCTTTTGACTTTCGAGGAAGTCACCAGTACCACTTCAAATTTCCAGTACCTGCATGCTGCCATCACAGAAACTATTCGGCTATATCCGGTCGTTCCACAGGTGAGGGATCAGCAGTAAGTGATAATTATCATGCTGATACACGGACTCACGCAGAGACTATGTACTATGGCTTAGTAGAGAATCCCTATAAACTGGAAATAAAGAATTTCAGGACGCGCTCTTTGGTCGAATAACTAGCTTATCATGCATTTTAGACATCCAGCTGAAGTTATCGGTGAGCAGGAATTGACTCACAGTCTCTTTGGACGATGCTCCTCGCCAGGACGTAAAGGGTGTGCTAGAAGACGATGTTCTGCCGAGCGGACACATTGTACGAAAAGGAGACTTGGTCGTATACATTCCATACGCGATGGGACGGCTGCAGACTCTATGGGGACCGGATGCTGCAGTATACAGACCTGAAAGATGGCTCAACGAAGCAGGCGTTTTCGAGGGCGCCTCGCCCTTCAAGTTCACTGCATTCCAGGTAGACCTCCAATGGCCAGCTTTGCTACCTATGCTCTCTCATTACATGCAACACTCCCCTTTTAATTTGGGCTCAATCGTGCCTTGCACTTGACTACCCGACTTCTCATGCGGATTATTCTCGAGAATGCGATTCGCAGGCTGGACCTCGCTCGTGCTTGGGGAAAGATGCAGCGTACCTGCAAATGAAGATAGTGACGGCTGTGCTGTGCCGCTTCTTCAAGTTCGAGTCCGTCCCGGGGCACCAGATCGGCTACAGAATGTCTGCCATCCTCATGATGAAGGATGGCATGCACATCACTGCCTCGAGGCGTTCGTCACCTGATCTCGCTAGTGCTCGAGCGCAACACAACTAGACTAAGTAGCCAAGGTACCAACAAATTGATGATTGAATTGGCCTCTCACTGGCCACGGAATACAGCACTAGTCATTCATCTAAACATCGATAGAAGTGAGGATTCAAATCGTAGATGCGGCTGAACTGGTGCATGGTCCACTGTAAAGTAACTATAAACCAATAGATTATGACCTATATAGTTTATCGTAGCTGAAGTAAATTCTTACTGACGATATCAATGCAATAGGTTAGTAAAATGTAATAAATCAACATCATCTCATTATACGGTCAGTGTTCTTACGTGGGAGCAGCTTATCGATAGCTGCACTTATGTAAAATTCCTTTTGATGTGTTCTGAAGCGCAGGCAATTAAATCCAGGGATCAACAAAAAGAAATTAAGATATAGCTGCATGAAATATAAATACAATCATAGACATGCTGTGAGTAACTGAACATGCACAATAAGTTACTGAATTGTACCCGCGACGGGAACAATTCAGAAAAATACATTGGAAACATATAACGCTATCTGAGCGTATTCAGATCTCTAACATGCAAATTATACATCGAGTGAACTTAAGAAATTTTTGTAATGTTGATTGCAAGAGTACAGAACTCATCATGAATAAGCTAGATGATTCTTGCTAATATGATTAGTATCAAGCAAATTTACTTGTTAATCATTTCATGCAATATCATTAACAATTTTTATTTTTTTCTGTACGTGTGACGTCTGAGATGAGACATATACTTTCAGAAACGGTATCATAGGGTTGGAGCTGTGTCTTGTGAATCACTCGACGGAGTCTAGTGGTTGTCTGCTATCTCGCAGTTGTTCTCGTATGTCTCAAAAAATGTGAGCGCTTTTAAAAAAGATTCTATATGAGCCAGAATCGGGGCGTTTCTGTACGTAGTTTCAAACATCCATTTATTACCATCGATGGTCAGGTGGTGTTGATGTGAATTGCTGTTTCCTTTATGCACGTGAACGTATGCCCCCCGTCCAAAGCGTACGTCTTTGTCGGTCTCGAGCAAGACACAATCTGATGAACTTTGGATTTTTACAGTCGCTGGATTTGTTAAACGTACGCCCTATAGAGCGTCCGTCCTTGGCAGCCTCGAGGAAGACACGTTAGATGGATTTGTCGAGTGCACGAAGCAGGCGATCTTAAGGATTGAATGACGTCTCAGCAATCAGTGCCCCATGTTTAACGACATACAATGCTAAATATCTTTGTCTCGTGTTCAATTCGTAAACGATTCAGAGACAAGGCAAGAATAAAACACGTTGATATGACAGGTTTTGCTTGATGCTATCTAGTTGATCATGATTTGCAGAAACATCCGCTATTACTACAGAGAGGGGATACTTTTAAGCAGCGCGCCGTTCTTCTTGATTCCCTGATGTACATATCCAATGTACTCAAGCACACGCGATATACGGAGTGTAGATTTTGCGACCAAAAGTCGAGTATCTTGTTTGTTAATTGGATAGTATCGTCCAAAAGAATTTACTACACTTATTTTCTACTAGAAAGTTGACCAAAGGAAAACCAGCCTTTTGAAAAGTAGCCTTAAGAGATCAGTCAGCCTTTTTTTATGTACATATTTCATTTAGGAGAAAAGCCCCAGGATTTAACAGCTGCACAATCAGTGTGACCCTAACCCGACCGAAAAGTGGACTTGTTTGAGTGAGAATTGAGTTTAGCAGTCAACCTTCCTTCTACTTTCAGTGAATCTAAGGCATCATATAATTCCATGCGCTATGGGGCATCCGAATTTCGAATATTATGAAAAATGTACGTGAAAACTACGAAAAAGTTGCAGCTGGCAACTACAGAATCCCCAAGAGGATCGATGATCATGATGTACTCATATAAATTAAGGCAACTAGAGCCATGAGACACGTTCGTAAATAAGATGGAATCTTGTCTCATAAAATTACACGGGGCTGGAGTTGACGAGGCAACCACATGAGGTACATCGTAATTCAAGCCTCGAAAATGGCCTTAGGCAGTGACAAAGATACCAATGGTAATCCGAATACCACCCCAGAATCCACGATGGACCTATCCGTCTTCAAGGCTGGATATTTTACTGCAACTCCTCCGTCTACAATTCGACTGCCTCCTACAAAAGCCAATATTGAAGGTCAGTAAGGTCAGGTGTTGTTTGGCATAGACTGGTAGCCTAAGCGCCGCATCCCTTCAAACTGAGTTTGTTAGGATACCTCCAGGTAAGGATTTGAAAGGCTCAAGGTGAACCGAGGGACCGAGCTGAACTCTTGGTTCGAGGTGAACCAAGAGCAAATGTCACTACGCTCTGACGTAAATCTGTGAGAGCGTAGTGACATTTGCTAGAACCAGTGAAGATGCCTTAACGAGCCACAAATGACAGGACGCATTGAAGGCTACAGGTGCATCCGTCGAGGATTAGCATTTGAACTGTTAAACAAATTTTTTTCAGTAATCTGTCCTAATGCTTTTCCTAGCATGGTCATATTTCATGGTACTCTCAGATTTTTCACTTCTTTCGAAGAGGATGTAGAAAACTGGCGTAGTCGAAGACAACAACATTCAAATGGCAACGAATGTTGCAAATTCTTTGTAAAAACTTTTTCGCTCTAAAAAGCAAAAAAGTTGAACACTTGCCGTCTAATGTTCACATGCAGTTTGAGCCAGAAATTAATGAAACAGGTGTTAAATTTTTGGAGAGCAGTTGGTTTCAAACTGTAAGGACTGAAAGAGACACTTAAAACCCGATTCACACCACCTCCGACGTCAATTCGTCGCACGATGGTGTAACAGGTGTTCACGAGAGACCGTATATATCCAGCAGTAAGCGAGGAGGAGGCAGTGGCGGATATATTAAGAATAGGAAGAGTAAAACGCAGGAAACTCATACCGATGTTGTTTCGTCGTCCCTGGATGTTGGAACTCCATAAATATCGCTATCATTAAGAGATCCGACACAAGTATGCGGGAAGCGTTGAAATCAGTCTCGCGCGCGGGTGGAACCGTCTTGTTGGACCTTGTTCTCGATCTTTACATGTATCAACGATCGAGATACATGCAGAATGACCCAAAGGTTATGCAAAGGTGAGACATGTCTTCCAAAAGGAGCAGCAAAGCTTCTTCTAAGGGCAAGGGAGTCACCGAAAACTCTTCCTGCGAGTACAAGGGAGTGCGCCAGCGGATTTGGGGCAAGTGGGTAGCTGAGATTCGGGATCCTAGGAAAGTACGTAGAGTGTGGTTGGGGACGTTCAACACCAAAGAATAAGTTACATCTGCTTACGATCGGAAAGCTTTACAATTTTTTGGTCCGAATGCTCACTTGAATTTGCCAAGTTCTCGCGTCGCCACTAAGTCTAATCAAAACACCGTTTGTACGTCATTGTTCTCTGTATTTCCGCGAATTTGGTTTTTGAAAACATATCCATAACCTCAAGTTAGTGAAGTTTACAAGATTCCGGTGAGTTATCACTTGGTTCATTTCCTATCATTTTAGTAACAGATATTATGTTTAAGGTAAAGTTTATTTGTATACTCAAATGGTACTATGTTTCTATTACTGTTATCTGATCTGGCTGTTTATGTTGTTATGTTATAACCTGAGCATATGGAAATTAAAAAACATTTTAGTGAATATTTTAAATAATTTTGCACGGGTTCGAGCGATGATAATTAGATACAAGTTCCACCACTAGAGCCTGAGAAAATTTAAATAAATATCAATGAATATTTTGAAGAATTGTACACAGGTTCGTTTGTGGAAGAGCAATCCGAATTTGACTACGAATCCTATTTAAATGAAATGGCATTCAAGTACGACGCATTCAAATAAGTTGAGGTCTAACTTCCTACCTCAAGTCATTCAATATGATTTTTTCGATGGCTACAATAATAGAAGTAGATTCTGAACTAACTTCACCCAGAATTTCAGTACTCTCATCTGACGACAATAAGGTTTTTTTGCCACTATCTCGCGAGGTCGGTTTTACTGCTTGGGGATCTCTGACAATTTCGAGGGACCAATGTAGTTCCCAAGCAAGTGAACTATCAATAGTCACAGTGTCATGGTTGATCGCTGGTCGTTCTATCAAAAAGAAACGAATTAAGGCGTCATCCACGTCTCGGTTGCGGCCACAATTCTGACGGCGAGGGGAAACGATAGTACTTCAACTCACAGATAGATCCCGGAGAAAATTTGACTCGTCACTCGCTCTTTGTTCGAAGTGGGTACAGCATCAACCGCTTCCTGAACTGTTGTGTAATCTCCACTTCCATCTAGACATATGTTTATCACTGTCGCGGCCAAGATTAAGATGATTGCAGATTTATTAAATCTTGCAATCATCTTGAGTTCACTCGATGTATAGTTTGCATGTTAAAGATCTGAATACGCTCAGACAGCGTTATATTTTTCCAATGCATACTCTTATGCACAAACATTTATCTTGATTTAAGAATAGATATTCCACAACATTTATCAAAATTACTATGAAAGAATTAATTTTTCTTCCTGTAGAACACTAGCTTTAGAGAGAGGTTAAATAACCATTTCAATTGTAGAATACTCATTTCCATGTTTGTTATGTTTACACACCTCCAGCAGTGAAAGCTATATATTAGTAATCAAAGCGACACTAGAATTCTTTGAAACTCACACTCCACCCAACGATGAAATTCACAGTGTATCAATCAGAAAGTCTTTTGATGACCACAACTCAGACTATTGCACACAGCTGAACAAGCTACCGTGAAATCATTCATCCATTCAAATTTGATTGTCATCGATCAAAATGTGGTTCCGGATTCAATCGCTGGAAAAGGTTCCTGGGCTGTCGGCAGCTGCTATTGATGTAGATGATTTATATTGCTCCATTCCACTTCCTTAGCCCAATCACCAAGGTCTTCTAGGCCGGGGGTCCAAAACTCAAAAATCGCGAAAACAATATTGCTCTCGATACTAGTCTGACTCAGACGGTGATAGACAACTCGGCTGCACTCAAAGGATCATCATGTTACCGTCGCGGGTACAATTCAGCCACAATAATATTTTTCATTATCAAAACATTAATGAGTAGAAATCAAAAGAATAATTTACTTAAACACATTAGTGATTTTTCAGGTAGATCACATCAAGATCAAGCCTTGAAACGAAAAGAAAATAGCAAGAAAACAAACAAAATCCGTAGGTACTGTACGAAAGATATACTACAACAAATGAAAAACTAATTCTCCCCAATTTCATCTGCTCCACGAATCAGATTGAAAGTACATTTGAAAATGCTCTATTTGTGGAAGTAAAAAGAGGAAATAGTCTGGCCTTTTATTTCTTGTGTGATCCATTTTGCCATCGTTGTATGCTGCAGAGCCCATCACACGTCAGTGGAACTATCAGTGTGAGTTGATTTATAATTACCCTCATATTTCTCTCTAAAGCTCTCTCTGCTTGTTGCCAGATGCTTCTACTGTTCGGGGACGATGCCTGCAGCTTGGCCGCGACGGTGATAAACATAAGTCTAGATGGAAGTGGAGATTACACAACAGTTCAGGAAGCGGTTGATGCTGTACCCACTTCGAACAAAGAGCGAGTGACGAGTCAAATTTTCTCCGGGATCTATCTGTGAGTTGAAGTACTATCGTTTCCCCTCGCCGTCAAAATTGTGGCCGCAACCGAGACGTGGATGGCGCCTTAATTCGTTTCTTTTTGATAGAACGACCAGCGATCAACCATGACACTGTGACTATTGATAGTTCACTTGCTTGGGAACTACACTGGTCCCTCGAAACTGTCAGAGATCCGCAAGCAGTAAAACCGACCTCGCGTGACATGTACAGAGATAGTGGCAAAAAAACCTCATTGTCGTCAGATGAAAATCCTGAAATTCTTGGTGAAGTTAGTTCACAATCTCCTTCTGAGTTTATTGCAGCCATCGAAAAAATCATATTGAAGGAAGTTAGAAGTCATCTTATTTTATTTGAATGCGTCGTATTTGAATGAGATTTTATTTAAATAGAATTCGTAGTCAAATTCGGGTTGCTCTTCCACAAACGAACCCGTGTACAATTCTTCAGAATTTTTATTGATATTTATTTCAATTTTCTTGTGCTACGTCTTAGTGGTGGAACTTGTAGCCAATTATCATCGCTCGAACTCGTGCAAAATTCGCCAACGTATTCACTGAAATGTTTTTCAGTTTTCACATTCTCAGCTTTAACACAATAACATGGACACCCTGATCACATAACAGTAATAGAATCATAGTACCATTTGAGAATACAAATAAAATTTACCTTAAATAGAATATTTGTCACTTGTCATTTATTTTTAAAATGATAGGAAATGAACCAGATGATAACTCACCGTAATCTTAGAAACTTGAGGATATGGATATGTTTTCAAAAACAAAATCCTTGTACATACGGAGAACAATGGCTTAAAAACTGTATTCTGATTTGACTTCGTGACGATGCGAGAATTTGGCAAATTCAAGTGAGCATTTGGACCAAAAATTTGTAATGCTTTCTTCCTTGGTGTTGAACGTACCCAACCACACTCTACGTCCTTTCCCTGGATCCCGAATCTCAGCTACCCACTTGTCCCAAGTCCGCTGGCGCACTCACTTGTACTTGCAGGAAGAATTTTCGAAGCCTCCCTTGCCCCTCGAAGAAGCTCTGCTACTCCTTTAGGAAAGACTCATTCTACACTTATCAACGATCAAGAACAAGGTCCAACAAGATGTTCCTACCCGTGCACGAGACTGATTTCAACTCTTCCCGAATACTTGTGTCGGATCTCTGGTAATGACAGCAATACTTATAGAGTTCCAACATCCAGGTACGACGAAACAACATCGTTATGAGTTTCCTTTGTTTCCCTCTTCCTATTCTTAATATATCCGCCACCGACTATTCCTCGCTTACTGGTGGATATATATGGTCTCTCACCTGTCACACCACTTCCGACGAATAAACGTCGGTGGTATGAGTCGGGTTTTACGTGTCTCTTTCAGTCCTTACGGTTTGAAACCAACTGCTGTCGAAAAATTTAACACCTGTTTCATTGATTTCCGGCTCAAATTGCATGCTAACATAGTTCAACTTTTTTGCTTTTTAAGGCAAAAAAATTATTGCGAGACTGCAATATTGACGGTAGATCATTCTCTCCAAACTGACGCACCGTTATAGAAGCAGAGCTGTGCGACACGGGAGAAAGTTTTGATTTGAACACTGTGAAGACAGTAACGAACTCGTGGATGTTGTCGATTGTGATGTATGCATATTTACCAGAATTCAGAGTTGGAGTCCGTTGATGCCGGGCTTCGAATGCACATAGCTCATCATAAATCTTTTCGGCGACTTCAGGTTTGCTCACCAAGTAGTAGATGAAGCATACGAGTACCGATGAGGTGCTGTCACGTCCAGCCACTATGAAGCACATATTCACGTTTGCCTCATCGAATGCTGATTGAAATGGCACGTATGGCAGCTCATGAGACAGTGCTCCCAGTCGCACTCCAGTTGCAACCTCGGACACCATTGTCCGGGGGTCATTCTTCTAAAAAGATCCTAGACATGATCAGTGGCAGAAACTGGACCAGTGAGTCTTTGCAGAAAAATTTTGCAACCAAAGCCTGTTCGATCTAGAGAACGTGAAGTCGCTCAGGACCGATCAGAAGTTAGGTAAAGGCTCTGACACTTGAAATCGTCCTTGGTGTCAAGGACGATTTCAAGTAACTAGTCAAATGAAACTTGGAACAATTTTCATACAGAAGACAGTTCGAGACCGAGCTTGGATATTTCAGGGATCAAACTGTCGACAGAGCGTGCAGTACCTGCATATCGAGAGACGTTGCAGAGAAAGAGGCCTTGCTAAAGATGGAGGCGAGAAGATGAGCCTTCTTCCAGTAGGTTACTAGGCTGTGATCACGAAGCACCTATCGCTGAGCCTCAGCCTGCATCACTATTCTTTTCTTCTTCCATAGTTCACCATCAGAACTGAAGATGCCGTCTCCCAAGAACTCGTATAGAATCTCTTGAAAGATTTCTCCCTGAGAAAGTCAATGGCGAATCGATCTCATCATTGGCTCCGACACAAAATGCATGAACTGTTAGACCAAGCGCATCCACAAGACGATAATAGCACCTTATCAGACCTTCAAACATCTGATCTGGAATTGCAATCATTAGAGAGACGACTGAAAGCAATGCGGAAATTTTGTTACAGTATGAGACTTCACAAAGCAAATAACTTGTGCTTTGCGCCTAACTTGTTTTTCACAGCAGTGCCTGATTATTTAAGTTGGTCGGGATCACCCGAGTTAATTTCAAGAACGAAACTGAAAAGATAAATTAATAACTGTCGTTATCCAGAATTCGAGATTCACATTCTTTAAAACCAGCATTTTCTTGCAAGAAGATAATCATAGCGGATGTTTCTGCAAATCATTATCAACTAAAAAGCATCAAGCAAAATCTGTCATATCACCGTGTTTTATTCTTGCCTTGTATAGCTCACAATTCGCTCATCTTTCCAACCATCAAACAAAGTATCGCACTCTTCTTTGCTATAGAATCATGACCGATTCTTGATTGCAACACGTCCTTGCGCTGAAACCTCGCCTCCCGGCGGCCTAATTTCCTTCACCGTTGAAACAAAATTTACAAATGCTGAAGTGGCAAATTGACTATTTGGACTCGCCCTTTTAGACTGGACTTAAAGATTGACAAGGCGACGCTATAGAAGTAGGGTCTAGGGTTTAGAACCTCAAGCATGAATCCTAAACTCTTGTCACTCCCTGCAAAAAGGGATCAAAGTTGGAAACGAGGAATCGGTTCAAAGGAGAAAAGAAAGGGGAGAGGAAAAGAGAAGGATAGAAAAATTAAAAATTGACCAAACATAGTTGTACTTGTGTGCAGTAGATCTCCCACTGACCTTCAGGCCCTGTTCTACAACGCTGTCGGACAGATTCTGTCGCAAAAACGTATCAATAAGAACCGCGTGGCTATTAAAATGTCTGACGGCCGCGTTTGCTGCACTCTGTTGGCCAACCTTGTTCGCCACTGTCGATGCCCTCTGCTTGCCAACCTCTTTTGCCTCTACCGCTGCTGCCATCTTTCTACATAGATTGACATGAAGTCTCCACGAGGAAACTCAAATAGAGTCTTGATGCCAGAACTACTTGCTTCACTTTAGTGACTTGACGTCCACACATGAACACAAAGCTTTACCTTAAGTACTCTACTTGTGTGTTGAAGAGAGGTACTGTAAAGCCTCTTATATAGTAAATTCAACCCTTGTCTAACTAACCATAGTCATATTATCTAGAATTAAGCAACTTCTCAGTAAACTACTCACAACTTATAGATACAATATAACATGAAATTAATAAACTTCCATATTCTAAAGGCCAACTCCACTTTAATTAACTGTAGTTTTCCACGTCAATCTGGTTACCTCTAATCGTTACTCATTTAGTCAAGGAATCAATTGAAGATAGTCCACGTGAAGATATGTTTGCCTCAGATCCATTTCTTAAAGTACATTAAATCCATAAATTACATTTTATAAATCTCATCAAATGTTACTCTATAATTTTCTCCAACTTAACTCTAACCAGCTTACATAGTCCTGCCTATGAAAATCTTAATAACAATTTAGATACACTCACGTACAATCCTACAGGTACAGTTATTGATGTTCCATGATTCGTTAGTTCACACCCTCCCCAAGGATCAAATCAGTCTATCTCGTCAAGTTGAATCCAGCCGACACTTCCTACTCAATGTCATCCTTCTTATCAGCGTAATCTCTTTCTAAAGCCTCCAACCGAAGATTTCATACCAAGTATCAGGCTATCCTCTCAATCCATGGAGCGCACAGAGTGCAATCGCCATGATAAAAATCCACAGCGTACGTTCTTCAACATTATCTACTCATTTTTGTTTGAACCTAACTTTGGCACCAAAGGCCTTACAACCCCTGCTGGCATCTTTTGTTGTCGTGGCCTCAAGAGCTTTTGAGCAAATCGTTGTTTGTTTCTGATCGTGCTCTCTCGGTTGTTTGTTGACCATGTCAAAGTCACCGGTCACACGGCGACACTGTTACTATCTCTAACGACTCTACTCATCATCATTTTTCCTCTTGTGTTTTCCCAACAACCTGTTCACAACATCCATCTTCTTTCTACAAAGTCTATCTGTATTCGGAGGACAATGATATCTCGGTATTTATTCCAAAAAACTATCTCAATTATTTCTCACACAGCTTTTGACTAACAACCTATTCACAACATCCGTCTTCTTACCGCAATGGACATATGAATTCGGCGGTGTATGATTAGTCCGAACATTGCTGAATTTATTCCAAAAGTTATCTTCATTACAACTCTAACTCCAAAATTTTACCAACAACCGTTTCGAAACATCAGCCTTCTAACTACCAGCCTAGTCGTATTCGGCGGACTGTGATTACTCTGGATATGGCTCTATTCATTGGATAATCTCAGATCACCTAGCTAGGGTCTCACATGTAAAACATGTAATGTGAAAAATATCCATTTTAGGAAGAGGTAGCTTCTAGAGACGCGCCAGCACCATACGTATCTAAGAGTATGGCATTGGACGGCGACTACCTACGGGTATCAAGATACAAATTAGATACTTTAGACAAGGTCTAGTAAAGACTCAAGTATTCTTTGGGTGTTGATTGCACGCAAGTTGAAGACTTGAATCCCAATTGGTATCACGATCTTCCTTACCCTTCGGGACTCTTGCACTCAAACAATAGCTCGGAGATTCCTTATCCTTTTTTATCATTTGTTCCTAGGTCAAATGACCGACAGAGAGTGGTATGCTTTGTTGTGCTATGTTCGTCTGTCTGTGTCCTACTTTACGAACTACATCCACGAACAACAGGCAAAATGTGCATACCCAGGCTCACCCGACGGCAGGTTTCTAACTCACCAGACAGCTTCAAAATGAGAGGGCCAATAACACCGCCAGGACTCTCTTACGATCCTCAATAGACACGTCAAACTATATCCCTACTTCATTTGGAAACGCTCGCATGTATAATACTTGACAAATCCTACAGTTGGCATAAGGTAACGATGGGGAAGAGTGGTGAAAGCAATCTCGAAGGAAAATTGAATATGATCGGGATCAGAAATCAGTTTCCAATCTACATTTTCACCAGAAAATACTTCATACAAAGGTGACTCAAAAATTGTGTTTACCAAAGCCAAGTACAAGCACTCTGTTCGGGCTGTAGGGGCTATATCCAAGTTACAAGGCAAGCCCGGACGATGAAATGTTTTCTTCACAGGAGAAACGGGATTCATTGATGGTGAAGCTTCACAGGCTAGACAGAGTCCAAACATGCCCACAGCTGCTGAAGTGGCCATATCGATCCAACATACATGTGTACAAGTCCTTACTTGCCACTGCTTATAGTTGGCAGAAATCACATGTTCAAGTAATCTACTAGCAACAGCTGCAACTGGACGTCACATCATCACACACGCCATCGTATAAAAAGAACGTGCCTGGAAAAACCAAATACAGATAATGGCGAACTTTGATTACTTACAAGGAGACTAACACTCCAAACTACACTGACTTGCGTCATTCTCAACAGGTCAACCAATAAACACATATCCATTATTATCTTCCGGACTCCTACCACATCCATGAGGAGAGTGGAAGTAGGAATCTCTCAAGCTTCAGTGCTTTGAAACAAGTTGACAGTTATGACTAGCTGCTTCTGGTCAATGATCACGGTCAGGGATACTTCGACATCTAGGATTTAGCAAATGGAGAAAAATGATTTTGCTCATCCGAAGTCAAATCTCCCAATCTGCACAAAGGCCCTTGGCTATGGCTGCCCAAGCCTACAAAACCCAGAGCAGACAAAACTTCAGAAGGCGACTTTGTGTATTTACTCACTGCAATTGGACTACCGAAGGAGCTAAGAGGCAACTGACTAGGTAGCGATTTAAGTTCAGGAGCTTACAGTATAGACCAAAAATTCTGTGGTCGTCGTAGAAAAGAATCGTGCAAATCAGCACATTTTGGTTTCATCAAGGAGCAGTAAGTGCCCCTCCTCCGGGGCCATCATTTTGCTCATCAAGATCTTCTTGATACCACCAAGTCATTGGCATTCTTCGCTCCTCCTCCATATTCTCTTTCCACGACTTTTGGAATAAAGCTGTGGACAAGTAACGTTCTCCAAAACTTGGCAGAACACACTGCGATCAGATGTTTCTTTGGTTCAGTACTTCCGGCACATGATAGATTAAACCTTCGGTCTTGAGGCTCAATCCGTACTACCTCTATTCAATTGATAGGATAAAAGGAAACATATTCTATAGTGAAACATTAAACTACTTAAGTCATGGAAACTCAGTGCGAGCAAACTCAGTACTCAGCTTACCACAATCAATTTGCCTTTATTCTCTGGCCTTTGGCCAATTTGAAGGGAAGCATACACTGCAGCCCCAGATGAAATCCCAACCATCAATCCCTCCTCTTGATGGAGTCTTTGGGCAGTTTCAAAGGCGTCCCTACTATGCACCTGTATGGATGATAGCAAACCTTCATGAGTAGCAATACAAATCATGTAGCATTGATCATATAGCTCCATTCTAACATCGATTATCAGCTCGGTGCAAGTTAATACATCATATGCGCAGATTTATTGCCTGACCTTGATGACTTCGTCCAGAACATTGACGTTAAGTACTGAGGGAACAAAACCAGCTCCTATGCCCTGAATCTGATGGTAGCCCGCCCGACCACCTGTCCCAAAACAACGTCAAAAGGACTCAACAAGAACAGTTCTCGGACGAAATGCCCATACGAAGCACAGGTCAAACTTCAGGAAAAGCTGGTGGCCGACAAAAATCAAAGGTTAAAATAGCGAATTGAACGTGCTATTTCGAACAGCAAGTCGAATGGTGAGGGAAAGAAACCTGAAAGAACGGCGCATTCGGCAGGTTCCACCGCAACAATTTGTACATATCGGTTCATCTTCTTCAAATATTCTCCACAGCCAGTTATAGTGCCGCCAGTACCGACGCCTGCTACGAAGAAATCCACCTATTCAGACAACAAGCGTTAGTGTAATCAGCTTTGTCCTGTTGACCATAAAATACTCCAAATCTCGTATAAAACATTCTGGACGTACCTTGCCCTTGGTGTCCCTCCATATTTCAGGTCCTGTTGTTTCATAGTGTACACGTGGATTTGCAGCATTGTTGAACTGCTGAAGGGTGTACGCTCCAGGAATTTTCCTAACAAGTTCTTCCGCTTTCTTGATGGATCCCGTCATGGCCAATTTAGCTGGAGTTAAAACAACCTGCACAACACAGATATAATGGAAGACGGATAAGCATTTCTTCAAACTTCTACAGGCAAACTTAACTGATGTACGCTATTTAACTGATAACCACAGAAATGGACCACCGTGCAAAAATTAGTTCCGAAAAGCAAAGGGGCCTTAAATCATATACATTGAAACCTTTTGTTCACATTGCATAGCATACCTTGGCGCCAAAAGCCTGAACAAGAATTCGCCTCTCGATACTCTGATCTTCTGGCATTGTTAGAATGAGATCATAACCTTTCGATGCGCAAACAAAAGCGAGCCCAATTCCAGTATTACCACTCGTTGGTTCAACGAGTGTGCTAACGCCTGGCTTAATTAGGCCTTTTTTCTCTGCATCTTCTACCATAGCAAGCGCGATTCTATCCTTGACGCTTCGGCAAGGTTGCAAGGCTTCCAATTTGCATGCAATCCGCGCACAGCATCTTGAAGAAACTTTATTAAGGTACACCATTGGCGTGTCCCCAACCAAGGAAAGAACATTCTGACGAATTTTCCCCACGGACTTTGTCTCTGGCATCTCCACAGCGGCACCTGTTGCTCGTAGGCTGGAGTCATCTATAAACCTGAGAGCCAAGACCGGTGATTATGAACAAACACACTTCAATCGAATCTCATGTCCTTCGACAACAATCCAAGTAACATGAGATTCCTTGGAGACTTTCATCCCAAACCACTAAAAGAGAAACGTCCGCGACTGCAGATGCTAACTTCACTAGACAACGAATCGTGCTCACAGAAAGCTGATCACAGACCTGCTGGTAACGACACCATGAACTCTTTCGCTCGCAGATTTCCGAGCTGATGAAGCGGCTGAAGAGGAGCGCAGGCGAGGAACGCAGAATCCAGACCCTAGGAACTCAGTGCAAAGCCCGGAGTGCCTGGAGGTACAAGAAGAGCTAGCCTTCAGCCCACCTTGCCTACAAGCTGAGGCGAGGACCGACGCAAAACCATAATTCCTAACAGAGGGCAGCAATCCCGAAGAGCTAATACAAGAGCAAGATTGAGTGGCAATCTCGGAAGGCCTGCCTGCGCAGATCCGCGCACCATAACCCCCCGTGTTTCCAGCAGACGGGTCGAAATCGCCTCCTAAAAATCTACTCGCCGCACAAGAGCTCAATCGGCACACCGCCATGACGTCCGTGCATCTAATCTCCAAAATCTCACATTTACGTCCTCGATCGCCCGCCCTCCCCTACTCCCTCCCTCGCTTTCTTCGTCCACTCCTCGCTCTTCGCTTTTCCCTTCCTTCCCTCGTCCACTCCTCGCTCCTTTTTTCCTCGAGCAAAATCGGATGCTTTCCGTCCGCCTCTTGCTCTTACCTCCAGGCGCGGACCTCATCCATTTACGGCAGATTCTCGGTTCCTCCAGCTGACTTCACGTCCGTCGCTGCCGCTCTGCTCCGACTGCGGAGTCTGCACGACTCAACTTTCCGTCGCTTGTAATTCTCCAGTTTTCTGGACCTCCATAATGACTATTTTCGGGGGATTTCAAGATAGACCTACGAAGTTATGGACGCGCAATCCTCACAACACCTCCCCTGTCCCTTACGTTTTCTACATCTGGGCTAAACAGGTCCTTTGTGAATAAGATTATATATTTTAAAAACAAGAATATGCCCATATTTATGTGTATTCTGTTTATTCTTAAAAAATGAAGGGAAAAAGGTTTTCTTCACGTGTAGATACGATACTGGTCGATACCCGCAGAAAATAAAGGGTGTCTTGTCCCCGTTACCCGAAACACAATTTACGGGGACTGCCTTGGATGTTCCTGCTAATCGATGAATCCGCTACTAGTGGCTCCATCTTGTCCAGTGGGTGCAGGGGCTCGTATTGGTCGAGCTGGCCTTGTCCCGAATAATTTGCACCCTCTTCCTAATTTCGTCAATAGAAATTTTTTCATCACTTTCCAATGCCTTTCGTTTAGATGCAATGTGCGCACAAGTGTCTGTTGTATTTGTTGTTATTATTATAAATGGAGCCATTTGGCTAAGATGTCTGGGAACAAATAATTTACACATCCACTCACACAAATTCTCTCAGGAGTTCATTCAACAACACTGAGGTTGGACCCGTCCAACATGTCATTGCATAGAGCACGAACCAGGACGTGAGCCGATGTACTGCCTGGACTAATACGTCAGTGAGTAATAATACTTTCGAATACATTCCGATGTCCTAACATTGAGCCAGTCATATATACAATCAATCAATACATTGAGCTACAATCATGTACACATGGATTCAAACTTCAGTCCTTACGGATATAATGTAAAAAATATGTTACTCGTTCGAATATATTGAAATATTATTTTTCTAGATTATAATATTATAGATTTAGATATAGTAAAAGTTTCAGTAGAAAAAAAACTTAACTTACCTCATGCGAGGTTTCTAGACAATAAAGTGAAGATTTATTGAAGACTTATGAATTAAAGAATGGATTTTTTAGGTCATCCTTCATTCAAACAAAACCAAAAAATCACTAAGAATATGATATATACAGAAATATTACTTTTCCTTTTTTAATATCAATTTAAATTATAAGCCTAACATGTGTGTAATACTCTTCAATCAAAATACGCCATTGAACTTCAAATAATCTCATGACTTATTTATGAAAGATATCAATAATATGGATAATGCAACACTTATATATGTTTTGGTAATATATTAAAAACTTAAATGTGTATGATGATATAATTTAACATACATAATCAAATAATTGAAACTACATAACATAATACAATGTCATGCATCCATCATATTAAAATTACTGATCATTTTTTCTATTTTTTAGAAATAATTGAAAATTTTTATATAGAATCAATTTTGCGTTTCTAGATTCCAAAAGAAAATTTGATGTTTTGAATCACTTTGCATGAATATTAAAAAAATTAAAATCTTTAAACTAATCAGTATTATATCTTTCAAAAAAAATTATTTTTTATACATCTCAATCAAATCATGATTTCTAATTCTAAAAAAAATACTATTGTTTTCTTTTTTTGAATTTTGAATCATTTATTATAATTTTATCTCATATTTTATTTTGTTCATTCTTTTAATTTCTATTTCCAAAACTATTCCAAATCCGGATTTAGAATCTAAATTTTATTATTTGTACTAGAAAATATGATTGTGATCAATATCAAAATCTCTCATGAAGTGAGTTAGGTTTTTTATCTACTGAAAATAGTACTATATCTATATCTAAACTTTTACTATATCTGAAGTACTTTTTACTATTGCAACATTCAATATTGATTTGATATTTTTTAAAGATTATCATATTCATAAAACTTCATATGATACTCACATTTTGCATTATTGAAATTGGGTTAATGTGCTATTGTGCATTCAATTTTTTCTTGATTACAATATTACTTATCTATTTCTTTTTCTCTTTTATTATACATATCATTCATCATTTATCATTACATAAATTTTCATTTTTTGTTGTGCATAATTCATGTCCAATTATTTGAATAATCAGAAATTGAAAAAATTGTGTTCTTATATTTCAACAGTAATGATCTCAAATATACAATCAAATTTGAAATAAAATAAGCTTTCATGAATTTAATGTCATTGTTTTGCTTGCAAAAACTATTACGATATATAATATATATATTCATATAATATTCTTGTATTTTGAAACTCAAACAAAATTCAAACCTAATTTTAAATTAAATTTTTTTGTTGAAAATTTTGAATATCTAACATTTATCTTATTACAAAATTGGAATCGTATTAAGTCTTGATTCACTTCACTACTGAAAGTTTCACTTTCAAAATTGAGTGTCACAATCTTGTTCTAACTCATGCATAAACGTACATTGTGTGTCTTATATATGACATGCATTAGTGATTATTTCACTCATATCATCTAGCCTCTCTACATTTTGTAGAAAGGCCTGATGCATTTATCTATATTCTCATTATAAACTCATTAATTAACAAAGTTTCAAGTTAGGCTCAAACTAATCTATTCATGTATTTTGTCCGCTATGTCACACAAAGATGAAAATCTCATTATTACGTCTTTCTTTTGAATTGTGTCACTTAGATGATCGTTTCAATGTTTAAACATCCTTCAAAGACTGTATCACCCATGATACAGTTTTGAAAGGATGATCATACGTCCTGTAGATGAAAAAACAAGGTGAATATTTCTAGGAGATTTTTATCCCTAAACTATATGTAAATTGAGTAGGAGTTGAATATCACTGTATGCAAGTTCTTGGTAAACATACGGCTCGGAATAATCTATAGGTATATAAGAGTCTCATTGAGAGTTGTGTACTCTCCTATAGCTTTCATGAGAACATGCATTATTACTTTCGTAATGATTTTTATGTCACCTATATGATGATTCTACTATCAGTTAAAAAGTCATACAATCCTGATTTTATTTCTCTTGCTTTGGGATACTGCATGGCATCTACCTGCAGTAACATTTCGATCTCTTGGAAACAATGACAGCGTGCCCACAACATGCTACACTCCTCTGCTAATGTTGACAAATGACCAGATTTTTCATTGACTGGGTTTTAGGTAGATATATTTGGACAGCCGAAGGACTAAAATCCGTTTTTAAGCAAAGCCGTTGCACCTCCATACAACTTCATCTGGCACACTTCCCACTCACGCATTTCCCATCCTCATGCTACTCTCGAGGCACCAATTTAAATCCTTCTCAATTGCTATATCTGCAAAAGAGACTCGTTTATACATACGAGTAGAAATTTTCGGTAAGCACATTCCATGGTGTTCTCAAAGTATTGGTGATGTGTTTGACTATTGATTCGTTCGATAAAGTATTGAAACATTTCTTCAGTAAGAGCTAATGGAGAGTTGCTTCACTTGTAGGAATAGCAAAATCGATTAGGCATTCAAGATACCTTGCAGAGTAGAAAATAGGCACCTTCGTGGTCCATCAGAAGAATTTTACAATGATCATGACTTCAAGCATTGTCTATCTTCCTGGGCAGCTATTCAAGGTCACTTCATGCACATGACGCGTGGAATGGAAAACCTGGTAAACATTGGGGTGGGAGTAGTTTCTAGGATTGCGTTGACAACGATGATATGATGTCTTAACACTTAAATCGAAATGGCCGACTTGCAATGAGAGAATGTGATTACTAATGATGTCTCAGGCATGATAGAAAGCGGCAAACTTTCAGATCCATAGTTGTTGATGAATGAAGTCAACGTTTATAAAACTTACAACACAACATGGAACTGGCCAGCTGAAAGAATCAGCTAGCCTTCGGGTTCACGTTGCCAAAGGTTGTGCATGAATCTCATGCAACAGGAGAGGTTGAAGCCGATTCAGTGAAAAAATGAAAATATACCTTCAGCGTGTAATATTGGAGATACTTCTAAAATGGTGCGAAGATGTTGGAAATGTGACAGAGGATGGAAAATCTAAGCTATGAAGAGGGTTACAGAACAATGTCTAACCGAGGTTGAAATAACCAACCAACTTCTTCACCATTCATAAATCGAAAGGTTGGGGAAGTTCCTGACCACCACTCCCTTTTCACGATATCACAAGTGATCCGAAGTGATCGAGACGGCTCTACAATGAAGCACACATGATCTCCTTGAGAGTAGAACGTGAACATGGCTCCCTCAGGCGACTTGATGCTGCCTCTGCCGAGCATCTCGTGGGGCATCGTCAACATTTCCTCCCACTCTTTTGTTACCCAATCGTGCCTCCATATCTGGACTCGGAGGTTTTTGAAAGCCGATCCCACCAGCATAAGGTACCCGTTGTGCTCAAAGAGATCCACGTTCTTGAGTTGATATGCAAAAACCGCTGGCACTTCGTCCCAGCCTTTGGACGAGACTTTGAAAACACGGTAAATCCAAAACTCCTCTGTCTGCATCAGTGTTAAGATGTATAAATCGTTCTTTATGATCACAGCATTAAGATACAAACGGCTCAGGTGGTCTTCATAGGTTACCATCAAGCTGGAGACCAAACGCCATTGGTTATCTTTTAGGTCGTACACGTAAATTTCCTCCTGTAAGAAAGTAGGTACCCCGACAATTCCCCGAGAATCAATTCGTTCCCTATGCACCGCAATGATCTTGTGACTCTGTGTCGTTTGATCCATAACCATCCCCATCGTTTGCCCCACTTCTGCATCTTCTAGCTTGGGCAGAGGAGGAACCTGCCTATGAGTTCCATTGAGGGGATTCACTACAACTCTACCAAGCTTGCCATCGTCATGATTCTCCATGAGCAGAAGCCCCCCTGCGGCAGCTTTGACAGAGTACTGTAATGCCCTAGGAAAACCAGGCAAAAGCGATGTCTTGTGAATAGGTCGACCTTTGGTCTTCGTCCAGTTCCGAATTCCGTAGCAGTTTTCGTCGCTAGTCTTCGACATCCAGCACGGTGGTCGTTCGGATGGCACTGGGAAACAAGTTTTCAAGAATTCCGTGTTGCGCAGTATCAGATTCCAAGACTGGCACACTGAACGCATCTTCAAATTACTCCACCACGGCAGACGGGACAGTATAGACCTCAGCAGCTGCTCTGGGAGATGTTCCCAAACATCCGCATCCATCGCATTCATCGCATCCATAGACACCATTTCCACCGACTTCGGCTGTTTCCCATCAAAGTCCATGACAGATAATCCAGGAAGACGATAGGTCCCCAGACAAACAACTGAAGAGAAAGAGAGAACTTCGACGACAGCCTTGAAAAGACACGATAAACCCGTAAATTGTCCTCTCAATGTGCAGGATTCCTCTCCTCTCCTCGGAAATTAGATCTACAAATAAATAGAAGAGATCGAAACCAAATTCTCTCGCAAGAAGGTCGTTCATCTATCTACCGTTTTCAACATGGGTAACCCCTCCACGGTAGCGATCGTCATCGATCGAGCACGGAAGGCAGCCAAACAATGGACGCCTTTTTCCAGGCCAGGCCAGGCCAACTCAAGCCAGGCCGAAGAAGAACGACCACCACGACCCGGATGAAACGTTCTCGAACAGCTCTCGTCTGGTTTGGTCTGGTCTGGTCTGGTCTGGTCTGTGTCGCTATCGCTCCCTCACCCTCCTCTCTGTCCGAGTGCGTCAAGCGCAACAGTACAACGCTCTTTCCTCGTCGAAAGTCGTATGGTATGTAGCTTGCCGACAAGAAAACGATCACTAAAGAACACTTTCGCGTCTCTTTTCCCAGCGACCAGATCAAGGACTGAATGAACGCTTTTCACTGTCCACGGAACCCGAGGGCCATGAGGCCATCCATGCGTGAGCCAAACCAACTACGATGTACAAAGCCGACCAATCCAAGCCAGGCCAAACCAAACCCATACACTCTCAAACACACATCGAGCAAAAGTTGGACATTCGGACCACTCGGCACCTTGGACCCTCCTGTTCCTCCTCCTCCATCGGCTCCTTCTTCATTTCGGCTACATTTAGCTCCTCCTCCTCCTCCTCCTCCTCCTCTCTCTCTTTCTTGGCGGCCCCTCTCTAAGTAAGAATTGGCTGCAATCGAGCTCCACTGATCATTCTTCCTGTAAAGTGTCTCTATTTCGCGCTCTCTGGCGCTCTCGCTCTCTATTCTGTCAAGTCATCGAAAAGAGGAAGCAATGCCAAGGAGGGGAGGGGAGGGGAGGGGAAGGGAAGGGAGGGAAGGGATGAAGATCGAGTTTGGTTCGCGACAAGCTCAAAGTCCATGAGCGACCCTCCCCAGTGACTACTGCTTCGTTCGGACGTTCTTAAGCTGGAGTCCGATCATGGGAAGGTTCTTGTGTGTCAGTCAGACGCACGGAAGGCATCAGGGGTACACTCTCTGCGAGATCTTGTGTGCCTTTCTTGCCAGATCTTTTGCCTCTTTTTGACCACGTTTTGCCTATTGAGTGGTCTGTCCTGTTTTTTAATCCATGCTTTGCAATTTACAAGTGAAAATGATGATGAATAGTAGACGATTTTTCGTTTCCTTCTTATTATAATTTTTCAGCTCTACGCGCAGTGAGAACCACAGAAGCAATATTTACAAATATTTGTCAAGCGCAGTCCTTGATCCCGACTTCTTTATGAATTCAGGATGAATAACTTTCGCTTGAAGGTTTGTATTTACGACGACGTTTCGTTTGCCTCTTGCTTCAAGTTCATAAAGAAACACAAGGGTTCAAGTAAAGAGCATAAAGGATGGAAACCATGCAGATATGAAATGAAACAAGTAAGCAATGACTACGACTGAACATTACATAATGACAACTATATCATCATCTAGCATGTTCAAACTATTAAAGGTAGAGAACTACAAGAAATTAGAGTATCTAAAGAAGCATGATTGTGTCTCCTAAATATAAAATTAAGCAGTATCTTAGACAATTGAAATAACATTTTTTCAGAATACTCTACAAGATAATTTTTAAACATTGATATACTTGCCTTCTGAGTATGATACTAATTTGCGCTAGAGTAGCACATTTTTGAGTTCTAGTTACATCTCTTGGTATGTCAGATGATGAAATTATCTACATTATTGAATTTTAGATTATGGTCATTATGTCTTTGGAAGTCATAAGTTATTATTTTTCATTGTCATTAATATTTAGATCGAATGCAATAAAATAATTGTGATTTTAAAAAATCATGAAAACTTCAAACTAGTGCAATAAATGTTTTGATGATTTGATGAGTTTTGAAAATTTTGTCCCTGTGTCATGCATGAATTGCGAGATAACAGTTTAGACATCTTGTGATGAGAATTATGAAGCTCGTTACAAGGTGAATGCAATTGATTGAAATGCTTATTTATTCATGTGATTTGAAGTTGAAGAGTTTGGATAAAACATAAGAATGTATATGGAAACTTCTTTACAATTCAGAATGGTTTTAATAAAAAAAAAGATAGAGTATACATATGTTTGAAAATTTTAGCTTGAATCTAGAAGATAATTATTCCAACCTGCGTTGAATAGCTAATTATCGTTTGAAAGTTTATTTATATAATGATAGTTGTATATGTAAAGCCAGTTATGCAACTTTTGTACTGAAATTGTTTGGTAGAAAAAATTGTTCCCATAAGAAGAGTAGATATGGAAAGAAAGATTTTTGAAATTTGAAAATAGTAATGAAATATAGAGTAATATTTGTAACTGCGTTTTTTCACAAGCACATGCAAATTTTTTTCCTGTCATTTTAGGCCATTGTGTCAAGGATTCCGAGAATGAACAACTTCAGATTTTGGTCTCAAAGCACAAAGATCTAAAAGCAAGTCACACGGTTTCGTCAAGAATTAGCAGTCCAATTCTGAGACAGCTACTTCTCAGAATTGGACGGCTGAGAATGGAGTGCTTTGACTACTCTTATTTGACTTTAACAAAATTTTATGAAGTGGAGAGAGGGAGAATTACAATTCGTGCAAGGGTAAAGAGTATTGTTCTTATACGGCCAAGTCTTCATCAGTTTTCAAAGGGAAGCAAAGTCCTTGAACATATATGTTTTTCTATGCCAACCCTTGTTTCAGACTTTTGAATTAGATTTTCCATAAAACTTATTGCCATCTCTTTGAGCCTGCTTTTGTTATCTCTTTTCAAGTGATTGAGGATTTCATTATTGTTTCTGGAAGCAGCTTGTTTCCCACAACTAAAAGTGAATGCATGTTATCAATGTGTTTGGATTTTAAATTGTGTACTGAGAATAATAAAAATTACCTTAACGCTGACCGTTGTTCGGAGACCAACATCCTTACAACAAGGGCATCTAAGTGGAATGAAAGTAAGTAAGAGGTAGATGCGAACACAGATTTCACTCATCTTCATGATTCCCGTCCTTCTTCCCGTAGCCTTGTTGGGAAAAATCCATTTCGTAGTCCTCATATCCATCAGTGCTCACGCTACACTGCTGGAGATAGAACACCCTCCATTGGTGAATCTCAATATCCCTGTAAAGTCCCGCTTTGCCTGAATCCATATGCATCCATCGCAGTGGGCTAGCTGTGTGCTTAACTCTCATTTAGTGTTCTCCCAGCCTCATCTCGATAGCAATATTAATGTTCTTTTCGAAGAAAAGTGCAGCTACACTTTCTTCCGATATATTAATATTCGGTTACTGTCCGGTTAGATGTAAATCGTCATGACACTAGTAGCACGTTGCAGTTACCATCTTCCTTCTACACCAAAGCGTTCATATTTTGCATTCACAACGTCTACAACATCCGTTCGTTTAAGTAGAGCGTCACATTCCCGTTTGACACTGTTTTTATCTCAGACGTGACAATTCCGTCTTCATATAGTGCCGTGCATCAGGCACTGTGAGAAGAATAGCAGACGTGTAGATTGCGGAGAATTTGGTACTCCACAGTTGAGCTTCGTAATTTTTGACAGGACATTGATGTTTGCATACGTAGAAGTAATAACTCTGGGGTAGTTGTTAATTGTGTAGTTGCCCTTCGAGATTCACTCCCCTCCATCCGCTTGCCCCATAGTTCTTTGAAGAGATATGGCTGGTGATCTAAATTTCTCAGGGGACTGGTTTTCCGTAGTGATCATACAGAATGTCTGAGTTTACTTCGTACAACTAAACTGTACCCAAATTTCCCAGGGTGCTATTTTTCGTGAAGAATTTGGATTATCCTGCGAGATCAGTTAAATCCAGAAGCTGAATATTTTCTACGATTGCTACAAGCTGTCGATTTAAGATACATCCTCCCTCTCTTCAGTTCAGGTCTCCATATTTTATCTCCACGGTGTGCTTTGCACAACTCAGTAGAACGAAAGTATGTTTTGATCATCACAAGAGAGCGAGTACGTAATGGGGAGGTCGCCTGTACCATTGTCAGAATATCGTTCACTCTCATCCACGGTGTTTGATGCCGTGTAGGAAGGTGTCCTAAGATTGCGTTGATTTGATCATCATTCAATGTACAGCCAGTCGGGTAACAGACACGATGCCATGTGAAGGCGACTCTAACCTATCCTGAAAACCTGCAGCAGAGCATTATCGATGAGGTCGCCTGAATCGAGAGAAGAATCTGCGTCGGCCAACTCTCCCAGAGTACAAGCACGGCAGGTAGAGTGGAGTGACGCAGATTCTCCTTCCAAGAGGCTTCGCGAAAATGAATGGAACTATCGTGGGAATATGTGAGCACAGTGGCGACGATTCCAGGAGCTGGATTGTCACCACTACGTTTCGTTAACAGCCATCACGAATCGACACAGAGCAGAGACGGAGCACGAAAATCATAGCTCAACTTAGTGTCACCACCACTACCTAGACGATCGAGAGAGCATAGCCTACACAATGCAGGCAATGCGGAGGGTAAAAGCCGAGGCCTTGTCTGCCAAAGTTGCACAACGACCGGTCTGTGCACGGAGTTTATTGAAGCATGGTGAGAACATAAGTAGACATTGGAAGCACTTCTGGTTCAGATCTCAATTGACACGTGTCACATCGAGAGGATTTGACGGTCTGGATGAAAACGCAAACCCTAAATTCCTAGTTCAGGACGGCCTTCCAGTCGACACCTCAACATCACTCTGGGACGTGGGCGAAATCCAACCTCTAGTTTGTCGACCCCATGAGGTACATTTTGGGGTCCGATATTACATGGCCCCTCCGGGTGTTGATCTAAATTGAGTGCACCGTTGAACTGTCCACTGGTCATGCTCGCAGTGTGCAGTTGGACAGTGAGTCGCGGATTGTCTCTAGACATCAACTTCATTTCTTTCATCCTATGTGTTCGGTGTTACTAGACATGTTGACTAAACACACGAATTGCTGAGAAAATGCGGATGTCGTGGTAGAATTGTCAGGATTCCTAGTGAGGAGTTGGTCTTCGTCACGTTGGGAGGCACCTGCATCATTGTTCTTATACAGGTTTCGATTGGCGTGTTGAGTAGGACCAGAGGAGATGGTGAGAATTTGCGCTGTCCGGACGCTTTGTGTAAGGATTGAGTCGCCTTCTTCCTTCTCCTGTGTTTCTACTCTACATGTTCTCATCATAACGGAGTCTCCTCACCTGATCACCGTGACGTAATGTGCATTGCGTCTTATGTTCTGAAATTAATCTTAACCTGACGATTTCTGGGGGAATTTTGACAACTCGTGTGCTCTGCGAGAAAGCTGTATATTCTATAGAGAGCTGCAGCTTAGTAGCGACCATGGCCTTCTGCCCTTCCTCTCTCATCTAGGATAGCGAAGGTTCACATGTGCGTAGTCATTCCTACTTTTCTCACTGGAAGACCGAAATCTGGGCAACACAAGTCTGACATTGTCGATATGTAACCAGCACGTCCATTCTTCGCCAATGTCTTGCAATACTTCAGATGTGACGTAACGATGATAGTTTGATGTGTGAAGACTTTATCCACCAAGTACCTGTCTTGACGTATCCATGTGGTGCACCCTCATGTTTGATCACATTTGACATTTAACCATACTATTTGTCTTTTCCAGCTGTGATCTCATTCTTTGTATCAAGACCTCTTGGGCTCCACGACTCCAATCCGTGGTAGCAGATTCACGGCGAATTGTTTGCTACTGCCGAAACTGAACTGAATGTATTGTATTTTTCTGACGAAGATCGTAAAACATTCTTCAACAAGTACTCTCTCACTGTCGGTTTGCGTCGGTGATCCCACAATAGACATATTCAATCATAGTTACCTAAATTACCTAAATACGCAGAAATGAGGTTCCTAAATATGCTTAATTTAGTCTCCTAAAAAAACTAATTTAGGTTAATTTAGGGTTCTAAAAAATTTAATTTAGAGTAATTTAGGCTGTTTTAATTTCTTGAAAATTAAATTTAGATTTAATACCATAAATGATAAAATTCGACTTTTTTCAATACAACATTTCTATTAAACAAAAACAAACATTTTCAAAGAACAAAACATAGTCAACACAACCATTTTTTTATATCATAACTAACTTTAATACAAAATTTTCTTTTTTGAAAATTTGAAACCCTAAACCCTTAAACATATCAATGATCAATTTATTCTATGAACAAAATTTGATATGTCTGCATAATCTTTTCTAAATCCAAAGCTTGAAAACTTTTTTGAGACAAATATTTTTTCCAACGCAAAATTAACTTGATATGGACAAGTAACTGAATACGATTGACGACACGAGAGCATATAGTTTGCAGTTCCACGATCCAACTCTGTCGTGTCAAGTGAATAATGAATCGAGTCATCACTGCAAAAAATCGTTCTTTGATGACATTGTTCATTACCTCTTCCATAATCAGATCTAGTTGATGCGCTTCGCACCAAATCCGAATAAAAGTACAATCCTTGTGCATCACGTCGGCAAGGCGAGTAACGATTGCCCCAGTAATCCGTCCAGTCACATTGCGAGCCCCATCCGTCGTCAAACCAAGGAGACGATTTGTCCAATCAGGACAAAGCACTGTCAAAAACTTGCTCACCATTGTGAACACAACTTCACCTGTGTGACGATCAAACATTGGAAGTGCTCAACCATGCAAGTTAACAATCGAATGATAGTCGCGAATGAAAATTCGGAATCGTATGTCAAGAAATGAAATGCTCTGATGTGTCGCTGAGTCGAGTGCTAATGAAAATGCCCACGAATGCCAAAGAAGTTTCGCAATCTTTTGTAGATTGGCAGCGCAAATTACCCGAACAAAGTTACTGATATCGTGACGAGAACATGCACGTAAAGCAAGATTGCCCAAAACATCATATGCACAACCGACAAGTTCGGATGCCATACGAAATGATGTCCCACAAGATACGTATCGCATAGCAAGGCGAAACAACATTGTTTTCGTCTTGGGGATCGTCACTAGGTAAAAGTAATCCCCATCAGCGTCCTTCAATTTGACGCGATGAAACAATGATAATGCTCGTGCTTTGGATTTGATTACTGTCTCTCGTCGCTGGCTTAGTTGGGTATTATTTTCGCCCATACTACCAAACATGTGTACATCTTCTTCATCATCTTCTTCATCACTTTCTTCTGCATCTTCAAGATTAAATATCATATCGTCGACAACGGTATCGACAATATCTCTTTCAATTTCATATACAATGTCTCCTTCATCTTCCAAAGAAGACGGGAAATGGACTTTAAGAGAATTCTTAAATGCAATGGACCCATCATCAAAAAATGATTTGCGATCTAAAGAAGTTTCTAAAGTTTGATACACATCCCATTGTTTAGTATGTTGGGTACAAAGATGGTGTTCAATATTGTCATAACGAAAGGGTGATTGCCATGCTTGCACAGAGGAAGCAACTTTTCGTTTCGCATCTGCCTTTTCTTCCCGACCAAATGTGATGCAAAAGCGACATTGCACTCCAATCACTTTTGCCGATTTGGTGTCACGAGTTACAATTTTCAACCCAAATTTTTCATCATTACCTTTCATGTAAGCAGATGGACGTTTTTTTGTCATCGTAAATGTGACAAAAAAATCCTGTTCTTTCCATGTGATAGTTGTTTTCTTCACTTTACCCTGCATAATTTCAGAAAACAAGATAATTAGAATACTTAAATAAAAGAATCTATGAACATATTAATTGAGAATGTAGATGTATCAAAATTATCATATCAAGGTTTTCTCACAGTGCAAAAGTTTAGTCTTCCCACAGAAGTTATACTCTCTTGGCCTTCTACGGTTTTTATAATTCTCATCTTCGCCATTTCGTTCTTTCAAGATCTTTCCTTCGCGATCAGGATTCTGTCCAGAAACTTCTCTACTTTTATAGACTGTGACTGTCGTGGTGCTCCTCGCATGGATAATCACAGAGTGTAGCCAAGGAATCTGGTTGGAATATCATCCAATCATGCAATATGTCACATATTGCATGAGGTCTACACTTGTCGATGTTAAGAACTAGCGAAGTGTTGAAATTAAGGCAAACTCACGGACACTTCTCAACCGCACATGGCCATGGTACTACGTATCATGGCCAAGTCTGCATTGGGCACAAAAGCTATGAACCATACTAGGAAAAGAACGAAGATGTGTGATAAATTTAATAAATGGCACTTGTGTGCTGGAAAGTCATGATACGTGCATTGTACATCTCATAAAATTCTCCTATATCCCGAACATACACGAAATATTGCACAATTTCTTGTGTGTTCACACTGACTGTTAAAAAGATGTTATTTATTGTTTCATACAAATTATGATTTAACAATTAGATAATGAAATAACAAAATGAAAACTGGCGAACGAGAACTGACTAATATATCTATTGCACATCACCATCTAACTATGTTCACCTCGTAAGTTATCAGTTTTTACTCAATCTACTCGTCAACATTGCATATTGGTGAAGCACTTGCTAAAGACACCGAGGTACTAACATCATTGACCAATCCATATAGTTTGCCACACATTAGATAAATAGTGAAAAATTTGTCATTCAAAATTCTGGAAAATATTACTTTCAGAACCTTTTTGAATATGAATATATTTATCTTTCTATAGTATATATCTATTCACATAAATTTAAAGAGGAGTAAGAAAGTAACATACTCAATCATGTAACACATAACCTAAACACGGATGATAAATATTAAGATTGGTTCTACTATTCTTTATATAAACGTTTCAAACTCATACACAAAAGTAAACTCTACTTCCCATCATCAAATTCAATGCTAGTAAATTGATGACATGACAGATTTATCTAATGGACATAAATTATTCCTAATGGATAGAAACATTATATCAATTTAACATAAAATCAATTGGTTTTTCATGAATTTAAATTGCAGCTCATTAGACAGCAATACTTGTAATTCCATAGTATAAAATGAAGTTGCAATCATATTTGATTGCATTTTCATTGAGTCTTATAACTATAAGAAAACATGCATTGACATATTATGTAGGTTGTATATCAAAATTGTTTTATTAGTATACTCAAAATTTTCATGGAAATCAATATCAACCAGCAATATTTTTTGAATTATAATCTTATAGAGAATTTTACGGATAAATGAAATGAAATTTAATTTATAAACTATATATAAAAAAAATTTCTTTGGTTATCATGTGTGTAATTTTTTGATATTTGAATTACTTTGCTCTTCTAATGATTATTGTAACCATCACTTGCAATCAGCTACTTGTTGTTTCAATTCTATATATAAGTGTATCATTTGATAAAAAAAATGTACAAAATCCAAGTCTTTAAAGTCGTTTACTTGATCAAAGCTATTCCAAAAAATTTTAGTATTCAAAGTTTAGTAGCAATGGTCCAAGACAAATCAATCTTTTGTAGATGTGATTTTATGATTTTCAAAAATTCTCAAAATGCTTTATGATATGTTTCAAGAACCAACAATTGAATTGCATAAGACATTTTCAGAAAAATGTCTAGTTTCATATACATGTGTTTTTTTAAAAAAAAATGTGTTATCTACTTCATGTGAATAATAAAGTCAGATTAGCGCAACAACCTCAAACGGAAGACCTTTATGTTGCTCAACTCGCCTGATAGTTTGAATCTTGGGCTGCTCATATTCGATGATGAGATACTTCCTTGGGAGAATTAAAAAATTAGTTCAAGATTGTGTAACTAATCTTTAATAGTCATGATGATATTACATTTGGTCTAAGGTTGAGAGATTGAATAAAGTATATTCATTTAAAAAGTTTTTTTAATGTCAACTTCAACATGAGAAAATTGAACTTCATGAAGTTTTTCATATATATTTATTCATTGACAGATTGATTTGAAAGTATTCAAGTTATATTTCGGATTTAAAAATTGGATTTATATTTATTTCCATTTTTTGTTATGTTTTATATCAATCAAAATTTAGTGATGAATATTTATCCAAATATAAAAAAAATATTGATAAATGTTATGGAAATTTAATCCAAATTTTTCCCAAATTGATGTGTTACTCTTACATTAGGAATTAAGATAGATGTTCATAGACATATAAAACACAAAGTGAGAAAATGAAATCATATAACTTAGTTAAAATTTTTCTTGTATAAATCTTGCCAAAACATATAAAGAGTTAAAATTTCATAACATCATTCATAACATTTCTATTATATTGATGACATGATGGATATATTTAACAAGCATATTTGTGAATTTGCCCTTTAATTAATGAGCACATAGATTAACAACATATGACTATCACCTTATACACTTATTCTATACGTATTAGGCACAAATAATTTATGTGACAATTATGGATTGTACATTAGAATTTAATTTAATATTCTTTATAATACTCTCAAATTTAGTTGTATAAAACTAAATATGATTATGATTATAATTATAAGTTTGTGATTTTGAATGTGAAACAACATTCATTGTGAAATTAAATTTTTTGTTGAATTTTTATAAATAATTTTTTAATACATGTGTCATCGATAATTTGTAATTTTAGTATAATATGTAAAATTTCTCAATTTTTTTGATTATTTAATTCAATGTGATGCAATATTTGATATATAATGGTATAATGATCAAATTATTCAATATAATAAGTATTTTTTGGTCTATTTTTTCCAATATCATGAACATTTTTTGTATTCAAATGTTTTTATAATAAAATGTCTGATAAATTTATCTTAATTATACATCAAAAAAATTTGGCTTCATTTCCAAAGTTTTTTGTGTAATAATTAGAAATATAATATGATTGAAAATGAAAATTCAATAAATTTTTTAAAATCTTATCTAGTAAAATAAAATTCACCTTAAATTATATTTCGAAATTAAATTTTGATACACTAACATGACCAATTTAGCTTTGCACTTGAAAATCATTGTGATAATTAGTAAGGAAGTATTACATATTTTGAATATAGAAAATAAATTATCGTAGTCATCTCCGACTTTGAGAGTACCAAATATTCAATATCAATATTTTGCCTTCACATAATTATTCTCACTACTTGATAGATACTTCACACTTTGAGATAGCCTATCCAAACAATACACATATGAGAAGAAAAAACGAAATACAAACAATACAATTTCTTTTTACAAAAATTTATGTTTCAATCGACTACACAATGGAAACAAAAATCTCTCCATGATGGATCATAATTTTATGGTTTACAAAAACTTTGAGAAGTGTGTTAGAAATTTCCAAGTTAAACATCACTTCATGTCTAAAATAACTTTTATGGAGTGGACATAGGATCCATTAAAAAGTTTCCGTTTCACTAAGAAAACACCACTACTCAAGATGAATCCAGGATTCTCCTCCCTCTCTAGAAGAGACCCAAAACTCGGCACTAATTAGGTTGGTTCTTACAATTACAATTCGACAATTAGCGCCGTTTAGTCCTTTCTTGCATTCGCATACCAACCGCTCGACCTACAAGTGCACATTCCATGAACTCGGGTTTGATGGCCACTCGTTGCGTTTCTTCACGCAAAGCTCAGCCAATATATAATCTCATGGCCGAGCCCAAAGCAATCATCTACTCTCTTTCGATCTGCGAAATTCTTTTGAAGCACAGTCGGGTTCCAGACTTAAAGACCTATACGTGCCAATCCGAATTTGTTGCTTGGTTGGGAATTGAATCGTGACCCCAGCTTCAGCTCTGGATGATTTAGGGATTTGTCAATAACTAGAGTTGATACTCACGTTATTACTCGACGCTAATTGACTTTCTCACGTGTGAGTATCACAAAGTGTTATGAGAGAGTGATTTTTGTACAAAGACGAAGAACATGTAATATAATACTACTTGTGACAAAGGTAACGTGGCATGATCTACTTGTGGCAAAGGTAAATTTGTGATCATGACCTCTTAATTTATGGATGACGCAAAATTTGATTTTAGTTAATTATTGGATTTTGTAACAAATCCCAGAATTTAGGAGGCCTGCATTACTGTGAAGTCCCGGACGCACTTTCCAAATTCTCAATTAGTTTGCGTGTGGTCGCAGGAGATACAAATTTTAATTCCGGAACAGAGGCAAGTAAGAGCTTTAGGGTTAATTGTAGAGAGATCTGGTAGAAAGTAAAACAACATTGAGCACAGCAGATCTTCAAGATCTTCCAAGAAGTTGTTAACTACCCAGTTCCAGTGTACCAAAGCAGCAACGACCTACTTTATATCCACGCTACAAATAAGACAATCACATCAAGAATCATGTATAGTAAAGTCAAACAATCTACCTTCTAGAATAATTGCAGCCATATCTAACGTTTTCTGCAGAGCTTACTTCATTATCCAGTTAGAACCTTCTGCACATTCTTTTTCCTTAACAAAATGCTTAGCACATGTTTCACTCGTAACGTTGGCAAGACTTCATCAGAACAGCATGACGGGAACGAAGATAGTGATGACCAATTAACACTTCTTATTTTTGCTCCGTCAATTCATTCAATAAGAACTTAGCTCATTGGAAAGTTCAGGACGTTATGTTGTACTCGGACGTAGAGCAAATCCCAACATAGTCATTACGGTTAAGGGAAAATCGTGATCTCTTCTGCAGTTTTGATAGAGGAAGAAATCGTTCGCTAACAACATCAGTCGTTTCAAGCCACGACACAACTCTCCTCGCGACAGATTAGCTGTTCTCTACCGCTTCACAATGTGCCAACATATGTTTGTAAGAGTGACCCGGAGTGGCTGGTGGCTAGTGGAAGGTCATGTGCGATGTGCCAACCTTCGAACGCCGTTGTAATAGAAGTGCACGATGATTTACGTCCCGAATTTACGTAGGAACGCCGAACTGTGTCGCTCGATGCCAGCAAATGGATCCAACCTTCACGTACTCCAACAGCTCCAACACAAATGCAGCGTGGAAAGGTCGACCTCTGACCTCGCAGCAGAGTTACAACCTTTTGCAACATGGAAGAGGACGGTCGCGGGGTAAACTTATGCGGATAGACAGCATTCAACAGCGCCAAGGCCACAGCGCGGGTGATTATATGTCAATTTTAGCCCCCAAATCTCGAGAACCGCTGCGCGAGCTTTTATTTCCACAGATCTAGGAGGCAGATCGATAAGTGACGGAGAGTGGGACGATGTTTGGACTCATAGTCGGGAGATGTGCATAGATAGGAATCTGGTGTCAGAGGTCAAACGGCCCGACGCAGACTGTATCGGTCAGAAGGACACAGTAGGGATGGGGAAAGGAAAGTCACGTTGACTGCATTGTGCACGGGAGCTACGTCGTAAGGTTAAGGCCGAAAGCAAATGGCGGAGCATCGGACGGCGGAGATGGACGCATGAGGTGGATTAGCTATCCAATCCAACAACTTCATTCATTGCCCCTCATCCAATCCGCGCTGGTGTTAGCGTATAATCCTGACCACTGAGTCACGGCCAGCTCCGCAACACGGCCCCCTCGGGCATCGATCTGTCGGGCCACCGGAATGTGCAGCTGGTGGGCGGATCCGGCTGAAATGCCAAGTGTGTCATTCACGTCGCAGATGCGAGTGGCGGGAATATTCGCGGGGGATCATCCGGGCCGATGCCGCTCGGGGGTCTCGGGCGCTGACAGAGCGGATGAGATCTGTCGGAAGATGCCGGAATGTCCCGCGAACGATACCTTCCGTGGAAGTTGCAGTCCGTTATGGGGAGGTTAGAGGGGGCGGGAAAGGCGCAACGACCGGCACGCGCTGGGAGGCAGGGAGGCGATCGGAGCGAGCATCGGGTCGCCGGCCGACGGCCAGTCGAGAATAGCTGGGACGTGAAGGGGCTGTTGGCTGCGCATCGACGAGATTCGGCGCTTTGTGAGTTCGGGGAGCTGCGCAGTTTCACGGCAGGCACGGTTGCAGGTCGACCCAGTGGCCAGTCCGGTGGAGTTCTGGAATTCGAAAGGTCCGCCTGAACGCTTTTGTCTCCCTGATTCCTGCACTCCGGGACTGGCTTGCATTCTGCACGCGGAATTGCGATCGCAGGCATTATCGTTGTCACTATGGCACCGACGATCGCATGATACGAGAATATCCTGGCAGCTACTGCGGCTTCCGCCGTCCTCAGGCCGATTTGGACCGCGGAGTGAGCGCGAGAGAACGCCCCGCACGCCTCTCTCGGCAGCGGATATGTTAGGAGCTCCACCTCTGTCCCAAGCAGTCAATCCTCCTGCCCTTCTTCCGTTCTCCACCTTGATGATTTTGCAGTCTCAAGCTAGACTTCTCCAGTCCTGGGCCTCACATTCTCACTCCTTTCTCCTCCGATCTCAGTCTCGTCGCGCCTCTGAACTCGTCCGATTCTCACAATGGCGGTCAATCTCTAGCCCCACGCCGTCCTGCAATTTGCCGAATCAGTCGTCCGCCTCCTCGGGCATCCAACGCCCTGACTTTATTGAAACGAGGAGAAGCGTCGACATGGCGGCCCCGGCTGTTGGTACGAGTGCTTGCCAGTCCCTTTTACTCGCGCGCTCTGAGACATTCGTGCTTCGTACCAATCGCTAGATTCTCTGATTTTACTGCTCTGAGAAGTTCGGAGCCTCAGTGGATGGCTCCGTCCGCTCGTCTTCTTTCCTCTGAGACCCGTGCATTTTTTCTTCGCGTTGTCTCCATGACATAACCTGCTTTCAGTGGGTTGTATTCGCCATAACATTGCTCCAACTTCGCCTTGACAGCTTCACCGGTCGCGTTCAATTTGGATCCGGTGCCACGAGATGTTCCTCTTTTCCAACCGGGATTGAATGGGCTCGGTCAAGGTGAGAAGAATTCCAATTCATTTCAAGTACCTACAGATTTTTCAAATAATTTCGAATTAGCCTCTTTTCCCACCGAGTCTTACGAAGTGTACTGACAGAGTCTGTCGACAGTTTAAGTTCATCAGACGACCGTTTTTCATGAAATCCTTTTTCTCGATGTGGTCGTTAGATTTTTTCAAACGAGGAGGGGACTCTGAGATGTTGTTGGAAATTTATGTCGCCAATGTGTCGAATGTTTGACATTCGGACTTCGGTGAATGGTGTGCGCTGCTCAATGTGTCTTTGTGCGGACGTCTTCGTGGCTTGGAATCGCTCGACAGCATTTTTGTGTAATCTGAAAGCAAATTTTGTGTGTATTCAGACGTCAGACCCGGTCGACTCGTCGTGATCGGACATCGCGGTTGTGGAAAGAATAACGCCTTATCCATAGGCGACACGCCTGGCTCCAGGCTGTCTATACGAGAGAATACCATCAAGTCTTTCAATTTAGCCGCCAGTAATGGCGCTGACTACGTCGAGTTTGATGTTCAGGTGAGGTTATCTAATCTTCCCCTTCTTCTAACATGTTCTATTTTATGATTAACTTTGTTGCTTGTTTCCCTGGAATGAAATGTCAAAAGTTACTGTTCTAGCTTAGAATGTCTCAGATGTGCGAGTATTATCTGATATATGAACTGCGTAGAATTCCTTCTCTGAAAAGGAAGTATGATCGAAGATGATTGTCACTGTCTTCCATCGTCACCTTGTAAATGACGTTGACAAAGGATGTATCGTTACATCCTTCTCATGTCTTGCGTTTCATTCTATTGCACAGGTCACAAAGGACAATCATCCAGTACTTTTTCACGACGACCTTATATTATCCGAGGATCAGGTTTGTCACCTTCGAACACCTGCGCTGAAAGTCTGTCGCCACATATCTTCTGACTATCCGACGTGGGAGTAATCTAGTGGTTGGGAGGTGTCAGCTGCAAAGTTGCTTGATCTCAGCGTTGGTAGTACCCTCGGAGTACCTGTTAGATCTGATGATCGTCAAGCCGTGCATCAAGGAAGTGATTCAGAGTCTGACGTGCACCTTTGCAATGTTTTATTTGTTGTTCAGGTATCAAGGATCCGGGACCTTTCTCTCGAGGAATTTCTTTCGTTCGGACCCCAGAAAGAGCAAGGAAAGGTACGTCTTGTATGTTGACAACCCTCTTTAGCTCTCAATCCGTCAAATTCAGTGACCACGCTTTAATTGAGAGGTGGTCTCTTTAACCCACGTTCAATCCATGTGCAATCCATGTACGTTGCCTCCAAGTTGCCAACATATGGACTCCACACTTCTTGCTATGTCAGGAAGAAACGTAAAATTATATTGCAATAATAGTTGATATGATTGCCTGCCCCGATCGGAAGTCACTGCAAGAGAGTCTAAATATTTTTGGACTGTTGTGGCTGGGAATGAAATATACAACGGTGAAAAGTGTACTCGTCGTTGATGGGATGAGTGCCAATGTGCAGATCGGGAAGAATCTAGTGAGAAAGTCAGCCGACGGAGCTGTAAAAGCGTGGTCAGCCACCGTTGAGGACTCGCTGTGTACTCTCAAGGATGCTTTTGAGAACGTGCAGCCGTCTCTGGGCTTCAATATTGAAATGAAGTTCCACGACACGGAAGAAACGACGGAATCGGAGTATCGACGTTCTATCCTTGCCGTGCTAGCGGTAAGTCGGTTCCTAGCAATACTCCCATCCACCGGTTGATCGATTGTCAGTGCGAATTTTTCATCTTTGTGGTTTGTCTTGATCTGACGTCATTCGTCCCATCCCTCCTTCATCAGGCTCGTCAATGCATGCAATGTGGAAAATAAAGTGATTCGGAGTGTGTTGGCCATGTGGTTGCTTAACCAGCAATTTCTGTCTTCAGGATATTGAGAAGTATGCAAACGGTCGAAAAATCTACTTTTCCTCTTTTCATCCTGAGGCAGCTATCATTTTGCGCCAGGAACAGTCCACCTACCCGGTACGTTCTCCCACCTTTTGCCCTCCACTCTCTCTAAATTCTTTATATTATTTCTGTCAAGTAGCCGAACTTCTGGACGGAATTTAACGAAAGGTACTACAAGTTGAAAAATTGGCATTATGCGCGTCATGGTCATTATTTTTTTTTCCTCGTCTTTAGTAGCGATCTAATTGGAGGAATGTGGTTCGATTTTAACCTACGCAGGTATTTTTTTTGACGTGTGGTGGGGAGCATACCTACGCGGATGCACGAAGAAATTCAGTCGAAGCAGCCATCAACTTATGTAAAGAAAGTAAGTGCCTGCATGCCTATCCCCTACTCTGAGTTTTGTATGTGTATCCACTTTTAAACCATGCCGAGTTTTCTAGATTTGTAGGGGCCACAGCTATCTAATTATTGATGATATTTTACAGACGGTCTCCAAGGGGTCGTTACCGAAGTATTACCTATTTTGAAAAAACCGGACTTGGCGAAGAAAGTGAAAGAAGCAGGACTATCTCTTCTCACATACGGCGATCACAAGTACGTGGCATGCACTTTCACCGCGATTTGTGCATCGATCTCGTCTTTATCCAAGTGTTCGTATATTAAATCTTATATTAAATCACTCTGCTGTTGTTTTTTGCAGCAATGTTGCGGAAGCTCTTGCCCAACAGTACACATGTGGAGTTGATGGAATCATCGTAGATTGTGTCCGGGAGATCGTGACAGCGTCACGGACGGTGCATGCTCTTCTGAATTTCGTGCAGCCAGATTGGTCGAAATGGGTTCAGCAACCCCTTGAGCAAAGCTTTTGAGCTTGAGAGAGTACAAGGGTCGCGAGCCTAAGTCGGATCAGATCGACTCCATTCATTATACATTTTCCTCTCGGAGTAACCAATTTTGAAATGTAGATATTAGATATACAGCATTCTTTCCCTATATCATAGGCCCACGAAGTAGTTTTGTATTTTTACCAAAAAATATAAGAGTGTATACTATGTACTCATCACCCTCGGAAAGGGTTTAATTTTGTACATACTGTATACCCATCAATTTTTCATCAAATATATTCTTCAAATATATTTTTACGACACCCTCGTTGCAAATTCATCGTGTAAGTGGATATCTCAGCCGTCAGTCCAGTGAAAATGGCCGATACATTCTGTAATATAAGACTACCAAGTCCAACGTTTCCGTTTCTCCTCAATCTATTAGAAACAAAATAGGTTCGTAAGTATTGAATGGAAACGCAACACATATGGAGAAAAAAGTCTTCTCAAAAGAAGATGAGAGTAAAGGAAAAAATCTCAAAGTGCAGACTCCTGAAGATTGGCACCCTAATAATTTAATCACCTTCTTGTCATATCCTCAACATCGAAAATTGGGTGAAAACTTCGCAGAAGTTCAGCGAGGGAAGTCAAAACGTCACTATGGGCTTTTGACCTGTGCCGGAGGTTAATTATTTTCCAGCATCTGCAAATGAACATGGCATGCAACGCTCAGCAACCGAGATAGAAAACCGTCGCCCGAAAAGAGCGAAAGAGCAGTGAGACGTTGAAGGGCACGAGGCCTCTCATGTTACCCGCGGCCCCAGCTCGCGGCCCGCCGTCTAGCACAGGGAAAACGCGTCTTGCGGATTTAGCGGGTCAATTTCGGTGGGCGAGGGCCAGCGACGGATGGGACAGATCAGGTCAGGTCAACGAGGGCCCGCCCACGCCGTTTGACAGCGCAGGCTGGCCAGATGCGGATTTCGGTTCTGGAGCTCCGTCGACCAGGTCCAGGAACTGCGGTGCCCCTCGTAGGCTACTGCGGTGCTGCTCCCACTTGCCATCTTTACGACATTCCCGTGCACGGCCACATCTCGCAATTCTCTCTCTGGAGGGAATGTCTGACGCTGCCTGATCCAAGTGCGCACCGATTTGTGAGGAGCCAATTGCAGATGCACCTCAGATTTGAGGTTGTTTGGAGAAGCGGTGTCCACGGTAGGATCGAATCTTCTCGAAGCACTAGTTCTCGTGGTGTGTTGTGGAAACACTCTTTTTCTATCGAGCTGCGGCCAATTGTTTGTGAATTTTGATCGATCTGTCCGAGCTACGCATCAGGAGGGTGGAGTGTCTTGGTACTTAAACCCATGGGGCTTGTGTGATGGACTGCAGTTTCTCTTTTCTGCTTACGAGGACTGTGCCTCGAAGTTTAACCTCCCAAACGACGTGCCAAGATATCCGTCAAGATATTTGTCGTAGGTAAACATCTCCGCAGAATAATGATGCGAACTGCGCAATCAGAATCATGACATTCCAGTGAGGCGTAGACGTTCTTGTTATGAACTTGTTAGGAAATGCTTATCTACCTTTTTTGGCGACAGTTCATGTGTCCTCCTCGGCAATTGCATTTTCCTGATGCAAAATGCATCAGGAAAATGCAAGCCACATCCAGTTTTTAAAGCAGCTTCAGAAAGTTGTTTAATACTTGATCCCAAAGTCCTCTACATCTGAATCATTCAATTTTTTTAAATACTACATTTGGTCTCGAATAAATCATTCTGCAGTCAATAGTCAGCAATCGATGAAGTATTATCGTGCTGAAATTTATATTGGCGCAATACTCAAAGGAAGAGGTCGATGGACCGATTAATGTGAATCCTTGACTGCCATTTATCCCGTGGCTCAAGCTGAGCAACGAGAGCTCTAAAACTCCGATGAAGTCTACCTCAGGAGTTAGGAACGTTCAGTCTGTGGATAACTGCTGCAAAAGCTTTGCGCAAGCCTTTCATGGTCTCAGTGGGGTCCGCCCGACCGTTATGCTGAATTTCAGTATGGGTTTGATAACCCATTATTGGCATAAATCCAGCCCATCATGGCAAGACATGCAGGGCAGAAAATACTGTATTATTCGTTCCTCAACTTCGCATTGAAACTGATAAAGTGCTAAGAAGGATTCGGACATAGCTCTTGTGATTTTGGTTGCTCTGTCAACATGCAGCATTTCGGTGGGTCGAAACTCTAAGTTACTAAGGTTTTTAAGGTTCCATGGATTCCTCTATCTTGGATTCTCTCATCTTCTGGAGGACCGTATGCCTTCAGGAATGAGAAGCTTCCAAGTGGACAATGAATGTGGTAGTTTGAAATGGAAACTTTTCCACCATGGTCCGGACGTCTAATTAATCAATGACAGTGTTCAACTACTAAAGCCACTAGAATGGTATAGCTCAAAATTTCATGTACTCATTTTGCTTGTTTCTGCTACTAGGCCAAGTTATCAGCATGCGTTGCATTTCTGACCGTGCAGAGGAACAAAAGTCTACGATCTAGTCACCCTAAACCTTCCAAAGATTAAAAAATATATATAAACAGAAAGAAAGAAGTAATTCAAACTTGTATACTTTATCTTTCTAAAGGGATCATCCAATAAAGTACTTTTTTAAATAGAAATGTAAAATAAAATTAAACAATCCGTTCAAGTTGAACTCACTTATTTGGATGGTTAGAAAGGCTGTTGAAAGCATCATCACTTTCAAATCAAGTGATGACACTGATGAGTCACCTAATCTAATTGACTCCAGCTTTTCCATATAAATATATGCCGATGTAGCGAGAAAACCTTGCTACTTAAGTAGCCCTCCGTTGTTGTAGTATATTTAACCCGTAATGTCTCTAGATCCAAAACATTTTTCTTTACTATTTCAAGCTTGCTTACATATTAAAGGGGTTGGGGCAGGGTAAAATCCTAACCGTGACCTTCAATACAAGATGTATAGGATCACAACTGAAATTTCAGCAGTAAATCAACAATCTTACAGTGTAAACAAAAAAAAAAACCCCGCTAAAGCTCTGGGTTTCTTTCCGAGTCAAACAAGGTATAAAGCATATTTTTATGACAATCTACATATGAAAAGATGAGTTTGTCAAAAGTGATGAGTCATGTAGAAGCTCAGGGTGAAACTAAATCTAGTGGGTGCTGTTTGATTCTGAAATACAACCGTGTAGATTCTTAACTTATTTCTTCCATTTTTCTGGGTACGGGACTTTGCGGAAAATATGAAACCTAACAAAAACCACAACCTTAGTATTAACGTGTGTCTTAACATGTGTCAACCTTAATATTATCTTACCATTTGAATTCAAAACGAACATGTGGACACATGCTGTATTTCAAACAATACCACAGTCACATATGAAGATACATTGTGGATGTACCAAGTAAATGCTTAACATAACTAGAGGTGTTCCAATTTGACGTAGAATGTTTTTGCTTGTTTAGATATGTCAGCCCAAAAACCAAAAACAAAAGCAACCCATACCTTGGGTGATGTGCTCGAGCTTCATTTTCCATGCATTTGACTAATCCAATTCTGCGCTTTGCGATTACACACATGGCCAACCTAATATTTTGTTTTTCCTCTATTTCCACTATACATGTCTAGAAATTAAGTAGTATAGTTGCTTTGAGCATTGTAAGATACATTCTTGGTCTCCCTTTTACAAGACACAGCTGTCTTACTGGAATATGGATGAGTTAGTGTAGCTCGCAAAATTTTGAGTGATCCTTTAAACGAATAACTTGAGTATAAATTATTTTTTATGTGATAAGATCCCATATATTGGAAGTTTGAAGACCATAAGAGACAAAAAGCTGTATGTTGGACAGTATTCATCTGCTCAACAATAACATTGCAGAGAAAGTTTCCAGTGTTGTTATGCAACATACTCAACCTGCAAATACTTTATGTCTTGCCAATATACGACTAGCTTTCTTGAGTTGCAATATATTATACATAAAATATATCGTGATATCTTCATACATGTAGTCAGACCAAAAACTTTCCCAGGAGAAAACCTTGTTGTTCATCTTATACCATATTCCAACATGATTTCCTTGTAACCTGGTGGATGTATCAACACACTAACATGTGGTCTGACACGTCAGCATGAGATCTCGAAGATAAACTGTACAAGGTCAGGTTGGCATTCCTATTATAAGTATTTATTTTTTCATATGTCTTGAACTCACACTCATTAAAATATAGCATTAATTGACATGTGATTAATTGGCAACAGAAGGATTCTCCTGCCAATAACTGTACTTAAATTAATCAGGAAATGTAACTATAAAAAGTTATCTTAAAGTTTGTAACATTCTATTGCATCCCATAGGCAAAGGTTGAGATATCCTGGAAATTGTAGCTGAGTTATAACAATTAGAATATATTCTAAATTTATTTCTTTGGAATAATGTGATGTAGCTGCTAAAAGCAGTGAACATTGTCTTAAGAAAGATTATGATATCAGCAGTAGAATTTCTGTTATTCTCATTAAATAAAAAGTGTATATAGATTTCTCGTAATAAAGTGAAATATGTTTCAAATCTTAACATGGAAAGAAATGTATATCTTCAACGTAAATGCTAACTGGATAAAAATATCTGCACCCTTTTGAGCCTTGCACTGAGCGTCATAGATATATATCTTCTATAGTGAAATGCTTTCGCCTAGCTGATACCAGGTCTAGATCTCACAGTTTTACTACCGTTTCGTTCTGAACCGCTGTGGGCTAATCAAACATTTGGCGATCTCAGAAGGTTGGCAATGAAGCTAATCAAGACGCAATAGCGGATTGCGTACAAGATTAAGCTCAGCTCTTAGATCTGATTCCTTGTTTCTCCACAAGTCAAAGTCGAGAGCTCATCAGATTAATGTACTTTCCTAGCCAAACTCTGAATGATGAACGTTGACAAAGGGAAGCTCATAAAACCTTTCTACAACTCTGAGGACTGTATGCGTCGTACGTCATGTTTAAAACATAAAAAGACAAGCGCTTCTCCTTGTTGTGTAGGATAAGGTTTTGACATTATGACGATGCTGTGAGTTTTTAGGTTCTGTACTGGCTGCCATTGATGGGACATTCTTCTCGTAGTCTTGTGACTGCGACCTGATTCTTTAATATGATAGAGGAAAACGGCACTCTGAAGAAACTGGACCCTGCCATAGAGAATGTTACTGAATCCGAGTGCATTAAACACGATGTTACTACTGCTGACTCTAACCAAAGTCAAAATCCAGACATCAAATTGGTACCGAGAGATCTTATGTTTTAAGCAAACAATCTCAGCAGTGTGGATCTTAATCGATATGAACGAGTTTACAGCGAGCAACTGCCTTCCTCTCGTGGAAGCAGACGAGGTAATACTTCCTATATTGCAGTTTTGGAGGGGGTGCTACTGAGAACTTCGAGATTTCTCCTATGTAGAACCGTTGTGGCTCTTTGGGAGACAGCATCTTCTACGGGAACCTTTAAGGAACATCTTTTGTGCTTATTCTTGAGAGCATCCATTGCGTAACTTCTTACACGAGAATTGGACTCCAGAGATCAGCTGACACAGATGTTTACGGATGGCCCTGGATGCTGGATATACAGTCTTCTCCCTATATTCACAGTGGTATTGTTAATAATATGATACAGTACCCATCTTTCCAAATGTGACTTGAAACCTAGCAGCATATGATTTTTGGGGTCTTGTTGAAGATTGGTAGTCCTGAACAATACGCTGAAAAAGACGGATGATTCTGTCATTCCCCTAGCATTGGCGCACCCTTCAATGTAGCACAAAAGGTAACCTCATGCATGCCGCCATGTGAACATAGGAATCTAGCTTATTCATGTGCCAGTTGAATGATATATCTTGTTGGAGGATTGGTTCAGGACATCTTTTTATATGTGAATAATGGCAGCTGTGAAGGCATTAGCTGTAAGGCAATTGAGAAAGATTAGCCATTAGGAAATTTTGTGCTCTGTTACAGGCACAAAATGAAGAATGTGCACAGTTTAACAGGAAACAGAGAATGTCACAATTTCAGACGAGACTACTTCTCTGTCCTCCTTTTTCCAGTAACTCTGTCTTTTACCTCGAGAAAATATGGAGAAACAGTTTTGTCGAAGATGAATTGTGTGGAACTACAAGCTATAACATATAATTTCTCCATATCATATCCAATTTTATTTCCTGATGACTTCAAATCTAGCGAAGTAATGGATAAATATCATATTCAGAGCTAAAGTAATCAATGGCTAGAAAATCAAAGCTGTGATAGATCTCACACTCTGCAACCTTTCAGCCTTAAAAATCAGCCAGGAGGCTATCACTTTGTCAGGCCTCTTCTGCTTCTGCATATGCCACTGGCCTGTTCGAGATTGTTTTATTTATCTCCAGCTGAAATGTTTTTCAAACTCTTTCAACAAATTATCCATTACTGTTGATATGTATTAACACTCTTTCACGATGTTCTATATGTCGTTCTTGCATACATGCTACGTGATGCTCACTATACTTTTGGCATATCTCACCTTTTCTGACAGCAGTATTTTCCAACAAAACTTGACAGTTG